GAATGATAAGATACTGTTTTGTTTTTTTTGGGTCAGAAATATCGGAATATCCGACTGTTTATTGACAGTTTTGTAAAGTTCTCATTTTAAAGCAGATTACATTTACATATAGGCCTACTAATTATTCACCTTTCTACGACTTGTCTGTTGGGAGTTGTGTCTAAAAAAAATACACCCCCCTCGCCACCTTAAAAATATCGGTAGGCGATCGGCCTGTTGTTTCGATTACAAAATTCAATTAAGGTGCAGATCGGATTGAGTACACGCCTAACCATGAAATGTTATTCTTTATACCCAGATGTGCTTAATTAATTAATAAGAACACCTTTTAACGTTAAAATTTATATAATTTGTTCATTGTTTTAATTATTTGCTAAAATGGGTTCTTGTCTCTTGGTTCATTAAAAAAAAAGAAAAATAGAAATAACTCAATAATCCTATAAATGATTTCATTAATGGAATATATCTGGAACAGCATTTAAATATAATTCATATATTATATATACTCAAATTACTAATTTTACAAGTGAAATGTTGCCTTAGATAACTTTTAAATGGGTATACATATTCACACGTCATAACTTGGGAGGGTATTCGTTTGTCATATAATGCCAATGACCTGACTTATACTTTTAATGTTAAAATGCCATTAGCTGAACGTAGCTAAGTCTAACTCAGTATCATCCAAAGTCTTTAACATTGCCAAAATGCTTTGGAGCGCCGTTTATAATGAAGCGACTCAAAAAAAATATTCCACAGGAGACTACTAACGGTGTAGACTAGAATAACCAGACGCCAAAGATCTAATTATAAAAACAGAAACGATTGAATGTAAATCGTTAATTTAGAATTTTAAGTTTTTAGGTCATCTGTCATTAGTTCGGTGGTTGCTGAAAACGCTAAACCTCATTTCGTTTGACTTCACGTTTCGAGGTTAAGATTATTGTTTAGTCCATAGTATTCTCTAATTATCGTTTCATCAGATTGTTTGATTGGGTACTAAAAAGTACTACTGATTGTTTGATTGCTTGATTGTGTACTAAAAATTAGTACGGATTCCTTGATCGAGTACTAATAATTAGTTCTGATCGTTGATTAATAGATTGAGTACTAAAAATTAGTGCCGATCGTTGATTACAAGAAAAAAAACCCATTATGTTCGCACTTACAAACCGGTCGCCACATCCCTCGTATGACCAATGCATCTTTTCCTACTACATATTTTAATACCCTTGTGATCGTCTAGTATCTTTACCTGTCGTCTTTGCTTCCACTTCACGTTGTGTATTTACTTCTTACTGTTTTCTCAGTTAGTTAAGACGTTTGTCTTACCAGGAATAACACTAACAGTTCGTTTTTACATTCTATATATCGTAGCTGAATACATAGATACAATCATAGTAGATTACAATACTAAAGTCATTCTCTCAAACCCTATCCAGCCAGACTCGATTTGCGAGTCTGCTGATAGAATTTGCTACATCTTTTCCCTTCTAGAATCAAACTGCTGTCTAGCGATTGCTCACAAATATGATAGTTTTATAGCTTTGGGTTTTGGAACTTCAATTATCTAATTAGTCAAATATGATGTAAATAATTTGGTTAATTAAGCCAAATGATGCAATCGTTATTTTCCGATCACGTGTTACACATGATATTCTCATTCCCACGGAACCAGCTAATGTTTACCAAATTATAACTCTTTTTATGTATCAAATATCAATAATTCATTTTAGTGCATGAGATCTGATTTCCCTTCAATACATGTATGTTAAGACAATAATTATTTCAAGATACCATATAATGCTATTATTAATTTAAAGATAAAAAATTCTAGCAATCTTGCTACACGCACTTACATTACTAAAACCACAAACAATCGCATTAAAAAATGTTCGGTGTTTAATTGCCGTCTACATCCGTTTAAATATCCACTTTCTTTGAGTTTACATGTCTAGAAAAAAGGCTCTAAATGTAGAAATAAAAAGACCGCGTTAAAAAATATTTTGTCACTAAGCTAATGTCAATTTTTTTAAAAAAATTCTAATGTATATAGGAGTTTTGTCCGCGATGCATAAATTTACTTCTTTGAGGATAAAAGTTTAGGCTAGTCAGAGTTTAATTGAGCAATGCCATTGACATAATAATAGAATTTGGAATGTTATTGCCCATTACTTTTTAAATATCCCATTATTATCTAAATATTGCATTACTTTTTAAATATTCCATTACGTTTTAAATGCCCCATTACTTATTACTTAAAACACTTCCCAAGAATAATGACATGTTCCATTACTCATTACTTATGACATGGCCCATTACTTATGACACTTACCATTACTTACGTCATGTCCCAATACTCATTACGTATTACTTATTACCTATAGCACTTCCCAAGAATTATGACATGTTCCATTACTCATTACTTATGACATGGCCCAGTACTTATGACACTCACCATCACTTATGTCATGTCCCAATAGTTATTAATTATAGCACTTCCCAAGAATTATGACATGTTCCATTACTCATTACTAAAACCATTTCCCATTACTTATGACATGGTCCATTACTTATATGCCACTACCAATTACTTATGACATGTCCCATTACTTATAACATGTCTCATTAATTATTATATGTTCCATTACTCACGCCATTACGCATTACTTATGTCATGTCCCATTAGGCATTACTTATGAGATGCCCCCCCCACTCATTACATGTCCACTTCACCATTACTTATTCGTGCCCTGTCATGGATTGGTCCACTACTCATTACTTACACCATGTCCCATTACTTACAGCAGTCCAACTACTCACTAATTATTACTAATTAATTATGACATGCCCCATTACAAGTCCCATTACTTCATTACCATTTCTCCAAACGAAATTTTAAAACATATCAGCCAATTAAATTCCCAATAGAAACAATTCCCCAACACATCTTCAACACGATTGCTAGGTCTGACCTCAATATATAGGATCACCACGATTACTCCACGATTAAAACCTCGAATTCAATCTCAGCGCGAATCGTGATAGTGTTAACCTGACATAAGAAGCATCTAGATTAGCACCATCAGGACAAACAGTTGTAACGAGTTTGCCATTGTGTAGTTAACATATTAGAATTAACGAACAAACCTGTGGTTACATAATTATGCAACTTAACGTCATGGAACATTTGACTGACCCCCCACCCCACCCCACCCCCACCTCCCCTTTCGTTTCCTGTGATATCTGTTCTAATGAAACTATATTCAACCCCCATTATCGCTTCAGTAACTGCTGCCCAGGCAAAATAATTCTCTCGTAGTACTCTATAGGGCATGTGTCCGTCAGTATGTGCAGTATTGTTGCAGAAAGATAGGACGTTAGACTCCATTTATTTAATTAGCTGTAAATGATGACAGGTGTCTTGCACGACAAGGTATGCTACAATACCTGATACTCTTTATCATTTGGGGAGTTCATATAGCTAATAAATTTGGTAATACATGTCTCTGTATTGTTTTCAGTAACTAATATAGTCTGGACATTGAAAGGTGTCAAAATAATGCATCTTTAAATTTAAAAAAAATATATATTTATAATATAATATACAAGAATACAATACCCAATTTGGACATTTTTCTGTGTTATCTCTGGGGCATGTATCTTTCAGTTGTTGAAAACTATATCTACAATATACCATACAGTAGTATACAATAACCCCATGGCGTTTTTCTGTTTTATCCCTGGGGCACACTGTTTTATCTCTGGGGCATGTACCTTTCATTTGTTGAAAAATATATCTATAATATACTTTATAGTATAAACAATAACCCCATGGCGTTTTTCTGTTTTATCCCTGGGGCACACTGTTTTATCTCTGGGGCATGTACCTTTCATTTGTTGAAAAATATATCTATAATATACTTTATAGTATAAACAATAACCCCATGGCAGTTTTACTGCATTCACTATATATTCATTATTTATTGATCTCGTTATTATTTGTCACTGTCGTTTTTCTGTCTGTTTGTTTTTGTCTGTGGGGTTAGTGGCCACACCAGGGCTGTCCGATTTTTACATTTAAGGCATATGTTCTGTTCGAGTCGAGCAGTGACATAAGCCGGATGGTTTCATACTACTTCCGGTTTCATTAATATAGTTCGGACGGCGAATCGATGGTCACGTTATAAATTTATCAATGATCAAATATTTTATCAATGTCTATAAGGGAATAAGCCCTGCCCTTTTGTACATTTCAGCAGCATAGCGCAATCTTTTGGTTATACATTTATGAGTTATATGATGCTGAACATTTCTGTGGCCAACCTTACAAAATGAATTTAAATGTAATGAAATGGACTTTAATGTCCTACTTTTCTGTCCTACCCAGGCTATTGAAGACGGGTAAACGCCATGCTGTCCACTATGGGGGAAATTTTGTCCAGAGAAGGGCGCTACAATCTTACACCCCCCTCCCCCTCAAAGTTTTATCAAAGAATATAATTACTGTTTAAACGGCATTTAGTAATTGAACAAATTAAAATAGATAAACACAACAGTTCTATGGATAACAATTGTTGTACTGCTACGTTTCTACAATGATTCTCGTGTTGTGAAAACATTGTAGAAACGTAGCTCCGATAAATACAATAATTGTTATGCTAGATCCCCACTATCACGATTCGCGCTACGATTCAAATCGCTGTTTTAATCGTAGAGTAATCGTGGTGATCCGATCAGGTCTTATCATATATTGAGGTCAGTTGTAACAATCGTGTTGATCGTATCAAAACGTATACTACACGAACGTAGCAGATCGTGGACTCAATAGCGACAATCCTATCGTAACGCATCACACGACAGTGGGAACCTAGCATTATCCATTGTAACTGTTGTGTTTATTTTAATAAAAACAAATGCTGTATGTATAGGTATATGTTCAATCAACTTATAATGTTGTTACACCTGTAGAATTAATAATACCTTTCGTTTCATTTCAGTGTCAGTGGTCTCAGCATTCGAATGTCCAACAGTCCGAAATCAACTATTAATCGCGGATCCTGATGACTGTCGAAAGTACTATCATTGTTTATCGGGTGGTCGAGTCTTCGTCAAATCCTGTCCCAAAGACTTGGTATTTGATCCTAAACAGAAAGTATGTGTGTGGGATTCAACTACTTCATGTTTAACAGCAACTCAGCAACGAGATGTAGAAAATTACGTTGACAACACGATCGATCACCTCCCTAAAACAGAAAACCAGAAACCTGTGGTACGAACTACAAAAAGGGTACCGAGAACGAGACGAACTACGACTAAACGACCCACTACGACTACTAGACGACCAACAACTACTACCACAAGACCGACCACAACCGAGGAGTCAGCTGACCTGCTCAGTTTTGATGAATCTATAAAGATCCACGAGAATGAGATGCTGAATGGTGGTGATTACCCGGATATGGCTTTCGATCTGAATGATTCGCTCGAGACTAATTCTACAGAAGAAAGTAACTCGACGTCTCTGGCATTCGACAATGAAGAAATACAGTCTGGTGATTCAGCAACTAAACAAATCTCTGGCCAGGAAGACGAAGCCTTAGACAACTACAGCAGCTTCCTTTTCTTCCCCAACAGTCGAATTGTAAAACGAGCTGCAGGTAACGCCTTTATATTTGACGTTTACAAACCCGGTTTTATGTCATTCCCAAACACTGCAGATATATGATAGCCTTGTCTCTAATTCCAAATTTACAAAACTAGATCACCCAGGATAATGCAGACAGATGGCAGAAATTAAGCCCATGCAGTGGCGATATGGTCTGTTTTTATTTCGACTTCTGGCAGGTTTAAATGAATGAACTGGGGTTTAACGTCCGACTTATCTGCTCCAACCGGGTTAGTAAAAACAGTTGTCAGGTAAACGTGGCTCCCAAGAAGGATACGTTGTTAGAATTGATCTTGTCGAGAGGGGGGTTGGAATGGGAGTGTCATCTCCTATTTTCTATGAACTTGTTACCTAAGCCCTTCATAACAGAGTCTTGTCTTTCTGACGCATTTATTGGGTGTGTGTTTCTTTAGCTGTTTTCGGAGATGACAATGTTACACCTTTTTGAAAGTTTCGACAAACACCAGCTTTACTTATAAGATGGTCTTTTGTTTTCTATTTCCAAGTGTCCGAGCACCTATAGACTTTTGCCACCGTCTTTAACATTAACGAAAACACGATTTGGTTCAGATGCAGAATTTTAGCCCAGTTTTTATAATAAGTCAATTCCTATATGAAATTAAAATTCGTTTGTTTTCTATTTCCAGGTGTCCGACCAGCTACGTTCGCATACAAGATTGCCTGTCCTAATGCCTTCGCTTATGTTGTTGAACCCGATAACTGCGACACGTTTTACCATTGCAATAACTGGAAACCCTTTCTTAAAAGATGTCCACCCGGACTTCATTTTGACGCAACCAATCTCGTATGTAACTGGCCTCATAATGTAAACTGTTTTGATGGTAAACGAGCCAATACTTACTTCGCTTTTAATCAAATGCGGCTTCAGAAATTTAGAAAAGAACCAAAAATGGAAGGCAAGGAAACACCCGAGGGCGAACGATACAAAGCTAAACCATCGATTCACCGAAAACCTTTAGAAAAAGACAGCAAAATCAGTGCCAAACGAACAGCAAAGACAACCACTAAAATCTCCATAACAACGGAAAGATCAACCCCAAAGACAACTTTAAAAGATTTGACAACTACCACAGCACCCGAAGTTTCAACAGAAACCCTTGACCATACAGCGGAGAAAAAACCCGTTCGAATTTTTGTACAACGCAATTCACAGAAAAAGACAAGCCTTAAAGTCACCGAGAAGACCACTACACCAGCCACTACTGATGCACCAACAGCAAAGACAACACGAATGAACAGGTACAAGGGACACCGCAACAACAAACAAGATATGTTCCTCTTCAGTACCAACAACAGACACAAATCTACTCAAGATACCACATTCACTGAAGCTAGATCAAGTGTTCGTCCGACTTTAAGATCGAAAGTAAATCCACGATACACAATGCGTTATTCAAACATTTATGAAGATTCACCTAGGATGAACCCTTTCACCAGACCTAGCTTTGAAAAACTGGAAGCTCTTAGAAGCAAGAATATCCAGCTGAACAAATCAAAGCCATCTATAATCCTAGTCGATAACACGCCCACATTTGCAGATACTTATAAAACAACTGTTTCCAAAGACGCTAAGGATAAGTACGGAAAAGTTAACAATACTCAGAAATTCAGAACTTCATCTTTCAAGCCACAAACATCCCCAGCTGTAAGTTTCAGAACATCCACCCTCGATTATACAGCCACGTCACCCACTGAAGACAAAACAGCCACCAGCTTCAAGGCCTCCAGCATTAAGCCCGACTCCACAACAACCCCACCCGCTAAATCCACGTCCACTGAGAAGTCTACCACGGACTTCACGTCCACTGACACGCTGGCCACTCACGTTAAAGCTGTGCAATATGCTAATAAACCGATAAACATGACCAAAAATATGAAGATAGAACAGGCCCTATCTCACCTAGAACCATCCAAGCACATCCCCAATAGTGTAAAAACTAAGACTTCGACAACAGAATCAATTGAGGCCACTGACGTGTCAACCACTGAAGACAGTAAATCTGTGTCATTCTTTACATCTACTGATAAAACAACGACCGACAACTCCTCCGTAACTAATTCCACAAATCAAACATCAAATAGTTTCTTATCTACGTCTACTATCTCCACGGACTTTCTTGCGACTGATAATACCACGGATGCCACCAACGTAACTACTAATGCGACCGATTCCATTGAAATGATCAATGGAACGCTTTCAGAACTAAACACGACATTAGATAGTGGCAATGGTACATTGGACTTCAACGAAACTCTTTCGGTCAACGTTACCAGTTTTCGCGCCAATTTAGAGGATCTTATAGATACTTACCATGCTAACTTCGACAAGGTTGGTACCAGATCTGAGGATAAAGACGACGACAAGAAGCATTCTTTTGACGCTGGCACCAACGACACATATGAACATCAAACCGAGGATGACGTACCGGTATCGTTTACTGCCAGGACAAACACAGACAGAAGCGCCATGATGGTCCAGGGCGAGCAGGGTGTTAAAGAAGAAGTACAGATTGAGAAATTTATGATTAAAATGTTAAACAGTGCCTTCAATCCAAAGCAGAATGAACACGATGATAGCGATTTAACAGAAAACGACAATATGGTTGATGGCGATTTAAATGATACACCTACAGATACTGATCGCGGCTTTAAACAAAAGTCTGGGAAATGGGTTCTTTTCGGAAATGTTGATAAAAAAGAACCCAGAAAAAAGGACAAGTCAAACAAAACAAGCATTCGACTAACCAACACCGACACTGTAGAAGACACTAGTGATGGCGAGTCCGTCATTGAGGAAGATTTAATCGCAGCTAAAAATCAAGAAATGTTTATAGAAGATAATAATATCAATAGTATTGACAACGTAGAATCTTCGGGAGATGTGGACAACTTCCATAACAGCATCATGATTGATAATACAGACAGTGAAACTAAAATGGTTGAATATATTTCAACTGATGAAGAAAAACACGAAAATCTTCGCAACAGAAACTTCTTTGACGCTCCTCTACCAACTCTACCTAACAGTAACGGGACACAAGAAAATGATAATGATTCGAAAAACGCTGAACTGAACACAGTGGTTCAGGTTAATAAGAAACCCGACGTCGCTACGAAGACAAACGTCACCGAAACCGTGGTCATAACGATTAAAAAGGTCAACAAAGACCAAACAAACGATTCTACAAATCACACTTCAAAAGCTCCCAAACCAGAGTCCACGACAAAAACTGAAGTACAAACCTCTACTGATTCAGATTCTGGATCCACAGAAAACACCAAAACCTCCCCGGACGCTACTACAATGGGATCTACTTCTTCTCCTATCGTTGAATCTGAAAACAAAACTCTGAACTCTAGCAGTGAAGATGTTGTTTTAACAATTGAAGAGTCTGTAAATGGCACCGAGCTGATCATGAATGATGAGGCCCCAGTACCAGTCGCCCTGAAAATTGTTAAGATCGACAAATCCACAACAGAGGAGTCTCTTACAACCACAGGTTCGGCACAATCCGAATCAACAACAGAGTCTTCTGAGTCAACGACAGATGGTCTAGAGTCTTCAGTTTCAACAAAGGATTCTTCGGAAGCTACTACAGTGGTTCCCAGTGATGGAGGTACAAACGACACAGCCAAGACAGTGACTGTTAAAACTACGGCTAATGTAACTGCAGCAGCAGTAGCAAAGAATGCCACAGATACAATTCAATCTAAGGCTACAATGAGGTCGGTGAAGTCCGTCACGGGACGGGATGGCACAGTCAGCGAGGTCAAGTTGGTAGACGATAAAACAGTCTTTTCTGGTGATACACCAGAAGACGGCAAGAAGTCATTCATTTCCCTAAGTGATCTTATTAAGTGGTATCTTCGACACTGGAAGAATTATTCCCAGTGGAAAGGTAAAGTTGAGGAGGGTATACCCACCAAAGCGTCATAATAAAACCAACAAGAGTTTACATTATGATGTTAAAATGATTTTCTTCTCTTTTTAACTTTCAATTTAAGAAAACCACACGCCGGTTGTTTGAGTGCCATGCTTCTTTTGAATAAGTTGATCTATAAATATATATAAATACAAAGCACTAATTTGCTACTTTTACTTGAACGAAAAGGGGAGTTTGTATGTTTTGTGGTTTATTTTTAATATAAATACATTTGTATATCAATTTTGTCAACTTTTATGTACAAACAAAATATTAAAGCTTGTTCTTTTCTATTGATAAATAAAGTTATTTCCCCTGGACATAACTTTGGATGCTTTGGTCAAAATTCTTACATACAAACAGTAATTGTTAGACCGAAAATTTACGGAAGAGAACTTAATACTCTTTGCTGAAAAAGGCGGTGATAACTCTTGGTTTGTAGCCGTTATTAATATTTTAAGATTTTGTACATTATAAGGAGATGGGTTCGAAATTCTGTCCAATCTAATTAACATTTGACCTTGCTTTCGGGTCTTTTATTGATGTCTTGACATTTACTCTACAGTGAGATCTAACAACATCTTTGTGTTCGATTTGCCTGATCCGATCGTTCATTTAGCCACTGAACAGATACTTTGGCTTAGACTAGAATGGTTTTGGCCAGTCAGAGACAATTTGAAAGAGACTATGCCAAAGAAATCCTTAGATCGCCATGCCGTGTTGGTCAACCAAAATTTCAACCCGAAATGAAAGAAAGGTCTAATATTAATTGGATTGAAGTTTTATCTTTTTTTTTGAATAAAAAAACGAAATATTAAGGCTTTTATTTGATACCATTTTGTAATTTCTTACTCTATTTCTACTTAAGTGTAGTGCTTTTTGTTTTGTTGATTTGAAGGGAAATATTGTAATGGTTATATTTTATTTTTATTTGTCACGACAAACTGTAGATTTGTTTATTTTTATACCCTAATTAAGGCTTCTTAAGTTGTATTCCTTTTTTTCCACTCATTTAATTTTCTGAATAAATTAGAATGGATTATTCCAGATTTCCCCAGCAGTCTATTTTCGTACACACTACATTAGTCAGTGTGAAAAACGTTTCGATGGAAGATGCCCGAAAAGTTATATTAACTCTTTCTGGTTAGACAACTGCACCAGTTTCTCTTTCGTGGTCAGATTCTCTTGCTCAATTAATATCACCATATTCATATTCCTATCACACAATGTGTTTTATATAGTTGCAATTTTGTTGTCGATCCCTCTGATGATGTTTTGTCCATGGAAAAATGAAGAACTGGTTTTCAAAACGCGACAAACACCATTCCTTTTTTTTTTTTTTTATCAAAATCATTTCCTTGATTTAGGTCTAAAGGATATTGAATTGGTTGATATAATGTGTTATTTCGAGTAAAGGTGGGTTAGTCTCTGTATAATTAACATTTTGTTTGGAAAGAGTAATCGGACTTTGGTCCATATAATCGGTCATATCTTATTAACCCTGGCTTTATCTACGGGTGTAAGATTGTCTACTAAGACAGTTCGTCACCCCACAAAACAGATCATTCCATACTATCTGATGGATGTTTGTTTAGTGAATGGGCCGGGGGGGGGGGGAGCTCCAAAGCAAAGAGTTCTAGTCATTTTAAACTGTGATACATAATTTAATTAATACACCCTTTTTATTGTCGAAGAAAATCGAATGTTTTCCCCATAAACAAAGTAGGACATGGTGTTTATCGCGTTTTTTGAAAAGAGCCGATCCGATGCTTTTACTATATATTTGTTACAACACTGAATTTGCTTTCCCAATATTTATTTATTTTATTTTGTATCTTTAATCGTGTTTCTATCATATCATATAATAGTATAATATTGTCTTATTTTGTTAGGACTTGGCAACATGGGGTTTAGGGCTTATAACTACTTTAATAACAATATTTTTTTTTTACATTAAACATAAATATTTGTTTGGCTAAGAGATAGTTATAGATATGAGTATTCTGAGCAATGTTTTAAATGACGTTTTGGCTTTTAGTAACGCAGTAACAGTACAATCATCTGCGCTAAAATACAAACATAGAATATCAGACTGGACACAATAAAATGTGGTCCAAACAGTATTCATTATTGATCAATCAAGCTGATCTAACTTTCACATTTTATTTTGGTCGATTTCATGCCACCATGTTTGTATTCTCTTAGATTGTTAGTCGTTTATTTCTCCACGAACATCGAGGCCAAATATACGGTAACCACTGAAACGGATCTACATTTAATGCGAATGACATAATTTGTGTATTTTGGGTTTGTTTTTTTTTTTTTTTTGTTTTTTTTTTTTGAGGTGGGCCGGGGTATTATTATCGTCTGATGGTTGTCGCCATTTTATTTCACAACCCTATATGACGTCATACTATTAGAAACATAAGCTTCGATCAATGGGGGAGAGTTTTGTGTTTATTTCTCATGATCTATACCTATCTCTGCCATTTCAATAAAAGATCTTTACTCAAAGTACTGATGTTAATATCAAATTAAGTTACCGTGTGATGTTTTGAAGGAGACACAGGAATGAATTGATTTAAGAGCGAAAGTTTCAATACCAGATGAAACGAAAGATTCTTCCTTTATCTGGGAATGTAGAACAGGAGACGGTAGTTATACAGCAACTTGTTTAGAAAAAAAAAACTAAGGATGGATCATTGTAAAAATTGTGGGAGTATATTTGTGGTAGCTTAAACTAAAGTAGCTGGACAGAAATCGAATCTCGAACCACTTTTCCCCCGTTTAAGAAAAAATCTCGGCAGTATCCTAGCTAGGAATTTGTTAATGCGTGTGCTCTGGTTTGGATAATCCAAGCACAGAAAATGCGAGTTTGCTAAGTGGGGTTTGGGGCATGTTCCCTGGAGATGATTTCGAAATTTATGCGCCATTTAGTGCACTCTCGATCCTTTGTTAACTTAACTAGTGTATCCGGTTCAAAATTGATATGTAAGCATTGTAAATACAAAACAAAAGTACATTTGTAACCAATTTATGTGATTTCGAGGTTCGGACGATAATACAGGTGAATACTGTCTGACTCAAATTCAGCCCCAAAAATCAGATCTTCAGAGAAAGAAATCGAGATAATCGTTGTGACAAAACACTGATATTTCGTCTTTATACAGTAAAAAAGCAAAAAACATATGCGAAATAAAAGAAAAGGGGCATTAAAAAGAAATCCGAATATTTATGCATTTTCCACTCGATGTTTGATACTTAGAGCAATCTCAAAAGATGCGAAGGGGGCTGGGGAGATCCTTTTAAATTGTTTATTGATATTATTATTTTTTACTTTATGTAGCGCATTTTCATTGGCACCAAACAATGCTGGGAGGGAGAGCCCCCCACTTATAACCTTTTAAGAATCTGAGAATATAATGATGATTTTAATTATATCCGAAAGTGCGCCCAACTCCCACTAAATGATCATTATGCCCCTACTCCATCTTGTTTGTAAAATATTATATTAAAACAAATTAATCAAATTCAAATTCCCTTATACGTTGCTGAAGCAGGGTGTGACCCCGACAATTGCTTCCAGTCAATGGGTGTGAGACCACTTCCTTCATAAAAATAAAAACAAAAGAGAAAGTTGCCGATTTTTTTCGATTGTGATTTATGTAAATAAATACACCGTCAAAATGATTGTTCTACAATACAGACAGAAGAATCGAACCTGTTTCATCTGAGTATATTGAGCTAAATGTTTTGGTTAGCTTGTTAAGAATGCTATAAAGTTTAAACAGCAGCTGGTGTTTTGTATATAAATCTATTCCGTATTTTTGTAAAGATCTCTGAACAGACTTTCAGTTTGCTTCAACCTTATCATAATTAAATCCTATCTATTTGTAAATGTTATATAAAGCATATTATAATCTTGTATTCTTTAATTAGCTTCCTAGCTGCTCGCACAACCTACTTTATAAACAGCTTGTGTACTCCTATGATATTATAGTCAACGTGAACAGTAAACGCTTTGCTTTATAACTTTTTTTTCATTATATTGTTCAAAATGTTTTTTTGCTCCCCATTATTTGGTTTTATATTTGGTGTTTTTCAATTCGACCCGATTAAAGTGTTCACGACAAATGTGTGTTTATATTCTGTGCAGTCAGAAGCGGCCAAGTGAAGGGAGACAATGCAGCTTTGTCATGGGTTTAGGATTTTCGCGCCCACTTCAGTTTTTGTGCCCCCGTATACAGTGGCTTTAATATACTACAAATCGACCCTAGCCAAAAACTGAAAGACAGCTACACCCCCCTCCCTCCCTCTCAACGAAATAAATATTGGTTTTTTTTTTGCCTCCCCTACCCTATCAAGATGTATAGCAGTCACTGGGGTTAAGATGTTTGGCTGTCAAGGGGTTAATCAAGATGTTTGGCCGTCTCTGGATTAATCAAGATGTCAAGCTGCCACCAGGGTTAATTAAGATGTGTATCAGTCACAGGGGTTAATCAAAATCATGTAGTTGTCAAAGGGGTTAATCAGAAACATGTAGTTGTCTAGGGGTTAATCAAAAACATGGAGTTGTCATGGGGTTAATCAAAAAGGTGCAGTAGTCCAGGGGTTAATCAAAAACTCTTATCTTTGCCACAGGGTTAATCATGATGTTTAGCAGCCACAGGGTTAATCAAGCTAGGTAGCAGTCCCAGGGATTAATCAACATGTGGAGCAGTCATAGGAGTTAGGGGTTAATCCAGATGAGTAGCAGTCCCAGGGATTAATCAACATGTGGAGCAGTCATAGGAGTTAGGGGTTAATCTAGATGAGTAGCAGTCACGTCACAGAGCTTAACCATGATGTGTAGCAGTCACAGGGTCAATCAAGTTGTATAGCATGCACATGGGTTTAATCTAGATGTGTAACAGTCACAGAGGTTTAATCTAGTTAATAAAGCTGTATAGAAGTCACAGGGGTTAATCTAGATGAGTAGCAGTCACATGGGTTAATCATGTGTAGCAGTCACAGAGGTTAATCTTGACGTGTAGCAGTCACTGGGGTTAATCTAGATGTGTAGCAGTCACAGGGTTTAATCTTGACGTGTAGCAGCCATAGGGGTTAATCGTGACGTGTAGCAGTCACAGGGGTTAATCTAGATGTGTAGCAGTCACAGGGGTTAATAAACATGTATAGTAGTCACAGGGTTAATCACACAATCTGCAACTTCTCCTCGTTACACAATATTTTAAAATACAGAACACAGTTTTTAAATAAATTAAATTTATTATACATATATCTAACAGTTAAATCAATATTGAAATAAAACATCTTTATAAAAGTCTGTGCTGCACAAAATGTAAAAGATCACATCTCCCATCCCCGTTCCCACAGTACCTGTAACTTATTCTACAGTACCAGCGGTTGCCAGACAAGATACACCCACATTCTGCGAGAGGTGGATAGAGAGCGATTTTCATACAATCAGGGGTTATAACTCAGAAAGTTACGATCCAATATTTACCAATATTGAAAGGAACCAAGATCTGTGGATTATAAATATAATATGCATTTCAAGTTTCATAAAAATTAGATGAGAATTGTGACATCTAGAATGTCCACAAGCAAATACGTGATTTTTCGTACTATCAGGGGCCATAATCCACAAAGTTACGATCTGATACATGCCAATTTTGACAGGAACCAAGGTATTTGGGAGATAGACCTATATTTCAAGTTTCATCAAAACCGGATAAAAGTTGTGACCTGTAGAGTGTCCACAAACAAATTGTGGACGGACAAGGGCGACGACAATATAAGCCCACATGAAAATGTGGGCGTATAAATATAAAAATTATATGTATTTTAAAGTTTTGTTTTGTTGACCATATATGGTTTTTATTATCATCATGAGTTAAACATACTTTAAGTTGTTCATCAAACAAAGAAAATTGTGATCTTTCAAAATAAACACTTTAGATTTCATTTAAATTTCAAAGATTCACAAATACTTAAACTAAAATATTTTAAGAATTCTGCATTTACAGTGGTTAACAATTAAAATCCTAGCAATCTTAAAATATTCTGGTTTAAAATTTTGTGAACAAGACTCCAGAAGTGCTACTGACCCTGGTTTGTGGATGTATTTTCCTATACCACAGATTGCGAAATTAAATGATTACCAGTTAGCAATAAGAAATCATCCAGGGAAAAGAGATCTGAAGAAAGGATCACTGCAAGTGCAACTTACATTGTATTAAATGTGTCAAGTTGTAACATTCAAAATCAATATAAGATTATTAGACTAGGCTTATAGAAAATACATATATCAAAACATGAACATGACAACTTTTTTTTTTATTTCAAGTTCAGGCCAATCATATCGTAAATAAAAGGTGTCCCTAATAACATGTGCATGAATAAAATAAAATTATATCTTTTTACTTCACAAGATTCCGGCTAATTCTAAGGTTACAAGGTCTTTAGTAACATATGAATTGGCATGAATAAAATAAAACTGAATCAATTTTATTTCATGAAAGTTCTGGATAATACGTTTAAATGGTTCTACTTTTTACATAGCTTCAAAATTGTAATGATCGGGGAAAAGAGTTGTTTTAACAGAGTTTATCGAAGATGTCAAATACCTTGCCCTTTCTAATAGTGTGTCATATTATATGATGGGGCTCCTTTGTACATAAATGCATTTTTCTCAATTTTGTAAATTCATTAGAAATTGACAATAATGTGACTTTCGCAAAATAAACAAAGAAATCCAGAGTATTACCGGATATGAAATAGTGATTTTAGTTGTTCCAGATAATTATTGAACATTTTTAATTTTGTGATGGATAAATATCCATAAAACTGAATAATAACCCATATTGAGACTGAAAATATTGACAGGAACCCGAGAGTGATTATGCCTGAAATAGTCTGTGACAGTTGATTTAATCCCAGACTTGATATGGTTGATAATGATAAAAAATGATCCTTTTATTTCATGGAAGTTCCAGACAATCATAAAGTATAAGATGTGTTCATGAAGTTTGGACGGCAGAGTTTTATCACATAAATAAATAATAACAACAATATCACAGACAAGGATATATAACAGATAATATATATGTTGAATATAAATAGAATGTTATTCTATATAACATATATCTCAAGATGTGACAGAAATATCAACACTATAACATAATAAAGCGATAGATCTGGCTGGACTACTAACAAAAAAAAAAAAAAAAATTGGGGGGAATGTTATTCAATTAAAGTATCGATGTGTCATTTTTGTTTTACGCAAAACTATCAAATTGCTCAAATCCACACAAATATGTGCTCAGATTGATTATATAATTCTATATCCCCCTCTCCAGCTTTAATTCATTCAGATCTAAAAAAGGCCTTTCATTTCTGTTTGCCCACAACAAAATGACGGCGACTTATTACATGAAATGACATGAAATAAAATGGGGTTTAACATCCTACTGTTCTGCTCCAACTGGGCTAATGAAGATGGAACTTATTACATAGCGAGCAGAATAGATCAATAAAATTTCAATTCAACATAACTTTGTAAATACTGATCGGAATTGAACCATTCCTGTTAGCGATTCTTATTGTGGTTTGCGCGGCATTCCTATTTCTTAAAGCTAAAATTTCATATTTTTAAGTTATGTTTTTAAAATTTATTAAAATAAAGCTTTAAAATAGATGGTATCCATAAACCGTCCTACCTTGTTAAAGAATAATCCTATTAAACCTATAATTCCTATTGCCAGCTGAGAAATTGGCAAAAATATCATTTTCAACTTCAAATTCCAACGTTTGAAGGAAGCTAATGCATGGAGGCAATATGAAAACAAGGGAGGTAATTGTGTTATTATTTCCTGTGTCAATGATTTTTAAGGGTGGGAAATAATGCCCATGGTCGTATAATAGTGAGTTGACAACATATTGAGCAAAAGACATAGAAATAATTATGTTTTGACTTTCTTAGAAAATATGAATTTATAACTTTAACACGACACATCAAGACTTTAATTTCCTGTTCTTCTCGACACAAAAGTGACATAAAACCAACAATATTACAAAACAAAAATTGACTATTATTTTATCAAGAGTTACGCAAAAAAAAAACGTTTTTTACAACTTTGTGTTTTTACTCAAATTTCAAATATATCCTATCCCTCAAATATTTAAAAGCTTACAAACTAATTCCTCAGTGGTGCTAATTTATGCATTTTGAGAGAAAAAGTCTGCAGAGTTTAAAGAAGATAGTATATATTATTGACATCCATCTTTCTCTTTCTAATATTTTCCATCTGGTTGAGATCTTTGTTGACTGTTATTGGTTTTTCTTGGACTTGTTGTCCCTGTAAATCAAAATATAATAGGTTGTAGTGTGTACAAAGTTTCATAACGATATGTTGAAATGAAATGAAATAGGGTTTAATGTTCTACTCCGAACAGGGCTAATGAAGATGGGCATACGCCATACAGTGTGCTATGAGAGAAATTTTGCACGACAGCCTACTCTAACATCATATTCCAACCATCAAGGGATCTTTTACTTGCATGCCAATGTGTACACGGGACTTCGGTTTTTCGTCCCATCTGAATGACTAGACAGCTGTCCTTGTCAGGTCCTCCGCCCTGCATCACTGACAAGGGGGAACCACGCCGGAAAATCTAGATGAACTGTCTCGGCCAATGCAGGGATCAAACACCAGACCTCCAGGCTAGCGAGCCAGCGTCTTACTCACTTAGCAACCGTTACCCCATATTGATTGGAAGTTTCTCACATTTTAATGTGGCCGCATAAAAACAAAAATAACTTCAGATCAAATTATAACATTTAGAGAAACCTTGATAGTGATTAAGTAATATTTATTATAATTGACCTGATTTTCCTGCCGAACTTGGTCTGGGACCAGACTGACTGTATTGAGGTTGAGGTGTGGCACGTGGAATAGAACCTCGACTTATTGGACGTTTACCGCTACTGTCAGGGGTTCGAGGTATCAATGGTTTAGCTCCAAATGCACTTGCATATTCTTTTACACTAGAATTAAAAATAGAGTAAAAATAATAAATATATGCCTTCTTCAACAATTTAAATATAGATCTGTTTTAAAACTGGACACATCAAGTTGATAGCAGTATACTATCACTATCATCCCTATTCACTACAAAGTATAAAATCGCCACTGTTCACTACAACAAACATTATCATGAATATGTACTACACTGGATATTATCATCACCATTCACTACAAGTGACACTGTCATCGCTATGCCCTATAAGGGACACTGTCGTCACTAACCCTACAAGGGAAATTATCATCACTGAGACATTATCACTATTCATTTCAAGGGACATTATCATCACTATTCACTACAAGGGACACTGTCATCGCTATGCCCCCTACGGGACATTATCATTACTATTCACTACAAGAGTCTATGATATCAGGTCCACTATGAAATGAGGTTTAATGTATTGTACTAATGTTTGGGACTAATGTAAGGTTAATCTTATTTCAATGATAAATTGTGCAATACCAGGTAAGAATACTGCTCCGAAGAGCTCCATCTCACCCTGCTCTACTTCAAATTATTACAGTCAAGGGATCTTTACATTTACAACCAATTTCTACATGTAACCTTTTTTTTTGCTCATCGGTAAGACAAAACTCCCCTTCCTTGCTAGCTCTGCAGGTGCAATTTCTGAGAAAGTGAGAACTTGGCTTGAAAATCCTTATGATTCTTCTACAGGATTCAAGCATGGGATATTCTTATTGTGAGTATACAGTCCTAACCACACAACCACCTTTGCCCCCAACAAGGGTCAATATGAATGTTTAAGACAACATAGAAGTCCATATAGTAATTTGTTATTAAAATGAAGAAGATCAACATACTTAGCTTTAGGACCAAGTTTTTCCATGGCTTTAGTTGATGGTCTCATACTCCTTTCTAGAGCCTCCTTATTACTAGTTTCTGTATCTTCTATAATATGAAATACAATTAACACATTAGTCTTTCCGTAAACAACTATCAACATTCTGTGATACAAAAAACAATGAACACATTACCAACTATCATCTTCTATATAACTTCTGTAGATCCAAGGGGTTTGGGAAGCTGAATGGTCTAATGTGTTTGCTTTAGTCATTGAGTCAAGTTGCATGGTCTTGCTTGATCCCACAATTGTACATGTTTCTCCAGGTGATTCAGTTTCCTCCAACTGCTAAAGACCCCCTACACACAAGTGAACTATTTTGAATTAAAGGGTACCATATTTTATTCCCAAAATAACCTAGTTTGTTTAGCTCTATTTCTCTCTCTTTAGTTTGTATCGAATGAGGTAAAACCTCATCTCTCTCTCCTCCCCCCCTCACTTGTCACATATACACCAGGGATTGAAACAATGCCACATGACCCAATGTGAGACCTTCTGACCTAAAGCAAAGCATAAGACCACTTTTCCCCATAAAGAAAACCATTTCATTTATTTAATTTTAAATCAAACATAACACTTTTAAAGGACAAAATTACGAAAGTCAGTTCATTAGTTTCAACTTTAAACAAAAAAAGATTGAGCAACATTATTTTTCGACTTTCAAAAGGACAGGGGAAAATTGGATTCATCAACCAGTAAACACTAACCTGGCCATATTGGGATTAACAACTAACCTATTGTATATTTTTATTTCAATAATTTGTATGCCCTAGAGGGGGGGGGGGGGTCTCTTAGGAAATGAAATGAAATGAAATGGGGTTTAACGTCCTACTGTTCTGCTCTGAACTGGGCTAAATGAAGACGGGCATACGCCATACAGTGTGCTATGAGAGAAATTTTGCCTGGGCAGCGGCACTACGGCCTACTCTTATATTGAATTCCAACTGCCAAGGGATCTTTTGTGTGCACGGCAATGTGTACACAGGACCTCGTTTTTTTGTACCATTCGAACAACTAGACAGCTGTAATTGTCAGACCCTCCGTCCTACATCACTGACAAGGGGGAACCACACCTCAAGCTGTCAAGCAATCATCTTTACCCCCAAAATAAAACTAAATTTTTTTTACAATCTTGATAATTTCAACCTTATATCTGTGTGTCCTAGCTTACCCTATGCTACTGTTTCATAAGATGACAATTAATCAGAAATCATACAGTGTAATAGAATCATAACTTACTGGCATTACTTTCTTTTTCATTTGACCGACTTCCACTTCTAGTTGGTGGTCTGGCAAGAAGAGCATCCCCCTGTCCAGCTTGGGTCCCTCCTCCTACGATAGATTGACTTGAGATCCGACCATCAGCCTGAGAACTTGATCTAGAAATACAAGGAAAACAATGCCTGTATAACATAGACACAGCACAAAAACATATAGTGTTGCACAGAACAGAAGACAATAAAAATACAACACAAAAACATAGTTTTACACAGAACAGACAAGACAATAGAAAGAAATGAAATGGGTTTAACGTTCTACTGTTTTGCTCCGACTGAAATATTGAAAAGCGCAAGAACATACAAAGTAGACCTACTGTGAACTCAAACAATAGTTTAACACAGTAAAGGTCTATTGGGAGCGCAGTGAGTAGGACACAGAGAAGGCCTAAGGTGAACCCAACTGAAATACACAGTTTTACACAGAGTACAAGTGAAAAATACAGAGTTAAACACAGAAAAGGCTGACAGTGAATTCAACTCAAAAACTGAGTTCTATACAGAGCATAGTGACAAAAAAACAAAACAAACCCAAACAAACAAGAATTTAAAAGAGTACAGTACAGTGAAAGCGACAGAGATTTACACAGAGTAAAATACCAAAGATATAAATCTTACAAATCAAAACATTTCCTTTTTTAATTATATTTTTAAATAATAGTTTATTTCATTGAATTTTTTACATTGATTGTCTGTCACTCTCATATTATTCAACATGTTAATTTATTAACTGAGTGTGACATGGTTCTTGTCAGAACACAACACACAATTCAAACCTGGAATAATCTGGTTAACATTTGACAACCATGGCCCCTTGACAAACGTGAACCCTAATTTAAAGAACAATAAGAATATATTGTACCTGACGTTACCGAGACGAGATTCAGTCATCTTTCTCTGTCCTGGTGTAACAGGTCTTTGTAATAACTGATTCTGTTCTAATATCTGAAACAATAAAATTAACGAATCTGAACAAATGTGACTGACTTGATTTGCCAACTTGTCTGAATTTTAATTAAGACACTGAGAATGAGTTGGAATCTGGTTGAAATGTTCAGTTTCTTTGAATACCAAGATTTACACTCACATTCAATTTGTAAATAACAAAACATGATAGTTTTATCATAATTAATAGTCATGAAAGATGCTAACTTAATTCAAGAACCAGCAGTCAATCAATATTAAATAGAGAGAGAGAAATGGGGTTTAACATCCACTCGACACAAACTAGGTCATTTTGGGACTAACATATGGTTTAATTTTATTTCAATAATTTGCTTGTGCGTAGGGGTCTTTAGCCCTAGAAGGAAACCAGAGGACCCAGAAAAAACCCACGTGGTTGGACAGACTAATTAAATAAAACAGTACTGTAAGATTTTTATTAAACCACTAAATAGGATAGAAACATAATAAAATGTACTCTGAACTGGTAGATATAAATGGGATTTCACATTCTACTTTTCTGCACCAACAAATGGGCAAATGAAGATGTTCAGGCTTGAAATAGAATACAACCTAATCCGAATAAGTGGGTTGCTACATATTTGAGAAATATCAGCAGATCCATGTTGAATTCCTATATCTTCTCACCTTTTTCTTGTTTTTATCAGCGTTTGTGAGGTAAACTGCATTCAGAAGAGTTTCTCCAAAGAGTTCTCCAGGTTGAGGAGTTAAGGTCTCATCTTTATCTAAATCAGCTTCCAGTGTGTCCTGATCTTCCTGGAAAAAAAGGCAATAATTTTGTCTCTATTATGTTATGTCTAATAAGTATATCTAAGATACAACCATTCTACCAATCACTATTGTAATAAGTATATCTAAGATACAACCATTCTACCAATCACTATTGTAATAAGAATGGTGACAGTTTATAATATGTATATATATATATTGACTGTTATCAAATGTAAACAATTTGGAGAACAGAAGGCATTGTAAAATTTTAATCATACTTGATTTCAACCAGACTTCAAGTAGCACAGACTACTGACAAAGATGTAGTTTAGATTAATAAAACATGATTAGTTTGATTCTAACATTGGAATGCTTACCTCTCCATCTTCATCTTCACCATCATCGTCGCCATCTTCTTCTTCTGCTGCTTCATCTACAAAAGATAACTTACAATATATTTTTAAGACTTACTAAAGAGGTATTAAGAAAACAACCTAATAATTCTAATTAATTTTTTAATAATAATGTATTCAAAATAACCTGGACTCACTTGAATACTGAATATCAAGCCCTGAGTATGTCTAAGCAATGGTAATTTAGTTATTCATATGGATACATGTGCAATGTGAGGTAGGAGCATTTTGCCCTAACAGCATTGTTACTGTCTATTCTTTTTTTTTGACTTTCAAATGTCAAGGTTGAATAAACCAGCAAAAATGTGACATTTATCTTTAATTACGGACAAAAGGACCATAATTATTTAAAATAAGAAAGAAATACCATTGAGCCCAAAAATAACTTATTTTTAGAAAAACATTATCCTCTGAAAGGTGATTGGAGCATCTTTTATTCCAAAAAGCATTATAGTAATATTCTATGTGAATATAAACCTACTAGAATTAAGTTGTTTTATAATGAACTCGATCTGCCTGTTCATGTCTGGTTGGTCATCTTTGATAAAACATTTCAGTATCGCTTCCATATCCTATAAAATATATTAATCAAAGTTAACAAAAATAAACACTTTTACCTCAGATTATTTTGTTCTTTTATGAATTAAAGATGGTAATAGCCAAAGCATAAACTTTGTGTGAAAAATGAATCCTACAGGAAAAAGGTTTTGGGCTTTTGGATTATTTTATTTCAAATCAAAAGTATGTATAATACTAATGAATCATTTATTCCCAATTGACATCATTAAATCTTTAGAGATAATAAAAAAATTTAAAAAATAGATTCACCATTCTCTTCGCCTCTTCTCTGATGCTAGAAATAGCTAATATACTGTAAAGAGCTCCATTTACATATGGCCTGATCTATAAATATAATAGTGCAGCAAAAATGTGTTAGTTATATTGATTTTCAAATTATAACACAAGAACACACAATGGATACTCAAATTTTACAATCTATCTGTTGGTTATCTCTTATACATCTGGAAAGTCTTCTAAATCTTTGCAACTTTGTGAACAAAACAAAGTTAAATTTAAATAATCTATCAAAATAAATTTAGATATATATATATATATATATATCTTAATCAGAATGTAAAATGAACATACCTCTGTATTTTCATGTCCTAATAAATCACTTAAAACTTTTAATGTTTGATGGGAATTCTTGGAACATCTTATTTTACCTGTAACAAAAATAAATTATACCAAATGTATTAACAAGTCATATTAGTTTTGAAACAAGTTTTTTATGCATATGTAATCGTTTAATAAATAATTATATAATAAAATGGGGTCTACGGTCCTACTTTTCTGCTCAAACTGGGCTAACGAAGAAAACTTGCACCATGCAGTGTGCCATGAAGGAATGTTTGCGCAGACAGCGGCACTAGGGTCTACTCTTTTTTTCTTTCTGAATTCCAACTTTTAAGGGTTCTTTTATATGCACACCAATGTGTACATGGGACCTAGTTTTGATTCCCATCCGAATGACTATACCTTGTCCCTTGACTCTTCGTTTTACACCACTGATGAACTTTTCAGGCCAACATCAGGATCAAATACAGGAACTCTAGGTTAGTAAGCCCATGTCTTACTCACTGTCGTACTGCAGCTCACAAATAATATATGGTCACAATTTTTTTTTCTAATTCCTTAACAGACAGCTTTATTTGTGGAATTTACCAACACGAAAGGAGACACCACTGAAGTTTTATTTTTATACCTTCTCATTGAATTAAGACGTCCAGTGAATGAATGTTTTTTTTAAAAAAAGAGCCAGGTCTTTTTATATGTATCAAGAGACAAGAAATAAAATAAAATACGGTTCACTAAAGCATTAGCTATTTTGATAAATTGTGAATTTACCTGAGGTTCTGAGGCAGAGATTCATAAGGAGAGCGACAGAATATTCCAGGGTATAATCTGACAAATTATCATTATCTTCTAGAACACCCACTAACCACTCTATAACACCCTTTTCTATCATTGCGGTCTGTAACGCTCGTCTGTAATACAAAATAAACCATCATTATCTTCTAAAATACCCACTAACGACTCTATAACACACTTCGCTATCATTGTGGTCTGGAACACTCAGTTATAACATAAAAGAAACTATCATTATCTTCTAGAACAGCCACAAACCACTCTATAACACACTTTTCTATCATTGTGGACTGGAAACTCACTTATAATAATATATATATAGAGAGAAATGGGGTTTAATGTCCACTCGAAACAAACCAGGTCATTTCGGGACTAAGACATGGTTCAATTTTATTTCAATAATTCGCTTGTGCGTAGAGGTCTTTAGCAGTGGGGGGAAACCAAAGGATCTGGAGAAAACCCACGAGGTTGGACAGGCGAGCCTACTCCTTGTCATGTACAACCAGGGAATCGAAACCACCCCAGTTGACTGAATGACAGACCTTATGATACAATACACACAAGCTAACCATTCAGCCATCGCCCGACCCCACTTATAATATAAAAGAAACTATCCTTATCTTCTATTCTGTAACACTTGCCTATGGTATTATATAAAAGAAACTATCATTATCTTGTATAGAACACCCACTAACCATTCTAGAGACCTTTCTCTATCATTGCAAAACAAAATATTTATGACTACTTATTGTAAGCAGTAAATGCTCAGAACAAATCTAATTCAAGATATTGATGTAAAGAATTTTATCAATCTCACTCCAATCTATCAAAATCAACAAATAAAACTGTTTATCTCTACTTAGCCTTAGATGAAAATGCTCGAAATCATCCAGGACTTTCAATTCACAAAATAATGACAAATTACCTTAAACTTAGTTTCTGTAGAGCACCAAGTATCATCTCTCTTGTGACAGAATCTTTGTCTTCGGAATGTAGATTTGCCAATAACGCTGGTGTTAAATCAGGATTAGAGGAGAGATATGTTCTACCTGAAACAAGATTGATAACTTATCTATTATTGTAGGCCCATCTATTGTATTCTTGGTTCTAATTTTCATTGGTGTTCTCTCCCTTCTGGTTTATTCTTTGTGAGCTCCCGAGATCACCTCCATTTGAGAATTTTATTTTCTTTCAACTTCACACAAGGCAGCGAAGATTTATCATATTTTTTTTCAAAACCAGTTCTCAAATGTTAGAGTGGATGCACAATGCAGGGTAGATTATTATTAGCATATAGGATGCGTTCGAGAGATAGATATCAAAACAACGATGTCGGGCAAACAGCCATTTTCTGCCGAACTTGCCCCGAACCTCAAGCGTACACTAAAGGAACCAAAAAGCTATTAAGAGTTATCTCCAATTAACTACTTTGGAATATTATATAATTACTAGGACTATCTCATTTCGAACAGGAGGTGTTTTTCATCCCATCTACAGCACTTTATTTTGTCCTATCATAAGCCGGCATAAACAAAGCTAGATAAATCTTCAAAGGTCTTCTTGGTCAATGTAGGAATTAAAACCTGGGGCATTCAAGTAATTCAAGAACGAAATTTAAACTGTAATGGGTCCTTTTACAATGTACATGCCAATGTGTTCGTGAAATCTGTTCCACACTACTAACCTGGGAGGTACGAAGCTGAAACCCCCTAGTCAGTGAGCCAAGACCTGACCAACTGAACCACTAATATAAAGATGATCAAAGCAACTTACCGACACATAATGATGCAAAAGCATTATAAAGTCTGGCTGTTCCTTGTTTCACATCCTCTGATTTGGATGTTAACAGTTTCTTCATTGAATCCTGTAAATAATAAACATAAACTTTTATCAGGCGACCAAAGATGAATTGTTACGTTTTCTATTGGGCGACACAGTATTGAATCCAGTCAGTAATGAGAGAAAGAAATGGGGTTTAACGTGTAAGTACGGGTCTATAGCAGGATAATGGAGAACCCAGAGAAACATCACGGGCCCACAGGGTTTTGCAGGTAACCCAAATCCTTGTCAGGTACAAGTGATAGTTATGGTAAGATGCATCTTCTTTCAGGAAACCTATAGCTAACAAGTTCCTGATGTCTGAATAATAGATGTATCTTCATTCAGGAAACCTATAGCTAAGCTAACAAGTTTCTGATGTCTGGATAATGAGTTTACTACTGACTGTATTAGGACTAAAAGTCATGCTGATTCTATAAACAACAAAACGTTATTAGACTGAAGTTGAGAATTTACTTAATGTGTTAAATGTATCAATAAAAAAACAAAACTATCTGCATATTTTTGTGTTTCTGGATCAAAGATATTTCTCATAAACAGTGATTAAAAGTAAATTCTTAACTTAAGTCTGAGAATGCTTTGTAAAACTAGGGCTAGGACAATATCTATGACTAGGATGACTAATATACTTACTCTGTAAGGACCAGGATTAGCGCAACCCAGTATATCATTATTAATATACTGATTAATTATAGCATCACGTTTCTCTATGTGAGACTTTGTTAATCTCTGAAATAATAACACATGTAACATATGTAAGAAAGTGTTCTATAAATCACAAGATTCTCTGAAAATAGATTTTAAACAACATGTTTCAAAAAATATATATAAAAAATATATAAGAATGGTTCTATAAAACCCAGACACTTTGTTAATCTCTGAAAATAGATTTTAAACATGTATTTAATAACAATAAAAAAAAAGCAATCTATAAAAATCCACCACCTCTTGCTAATGTTATGACTCTAGTTGTGTGATTGTGATCACTGAATGGTAATGCCTTGACTTTACCAGAGGCCTATTATTTTTGTTTTACTGGAATTTACAGTTTAATTGTTTTTGTCTCTTGTCATTCAGGCTGACTTGGGCAAAGCTACAAATTATATTAGCATTTTTCAGTTGATAGGAATTAACCTACCCATCGTAAGGCTTGCAGTAATAAAGCTTGGTTCCTTGGTGTTCCTGTCATCAATTCATTTCTCACTTTTCGATAATCTAAGGTAGGAAATTGTTCAACTTCAACTGTTTTGGTAGCCCTGTAAATTTTATATGTAAAATTTCAAAGCTGACTAAAATAAAAGCACTTCAGTTTGGGAATTTGCCAAAACATCCTCAGTAGAGTCAACAGCAAGGAATTTATTGGCTCTGAGGCCAACTACATATAAACTAAATGACATCAAAATCTTATTGGGGGTGGAGTGGGGTCTAATATATTCTGCACCGTAGATCACTAGGCCTGTTATCTATGCTAGTTTTGGGTTCTATCCCAGGCTACTACATTCTAATAAATCTTGAAAACAACAAAGACAGACACACATAACTTATATTTAGAAATGAAATAAAATGAGGTTTCACTTCCTATTTTTCTGTACCTGTCAGGCTAATGAAGATGGGCAAACACCAGTGTGCTGTGGGGGGAAATTTGACCAGACAGTAGTGCTAAAGTCTACTATTATTTTCGAAACCCAAATGTTGAGACTTATTTTGTCTCTACACAGGATCCTGCTTTCTTGTCCCATCCAAATGACTAGGCAGTTTTCCTTTCTAGGCTCTCAATCCTGTACCACTGACAAGGGGGAAGCATGATTAAAATCCTGGGAACTCCTGGTTGGTAAGCCAGTGCACTAAAACACTGAGCCACTGACCAGGATCAAAACAAGTTACCAACTCATAGTGATAGAAACGCCAAGATTTAGAATTATAAAAGTCAGTTACCTTGTAGGAGCTACAGACGCTCTTAACGCTTCTCCTGCTGTACCTGGTCTTGTTAAATCTATTGAATTCCTCATGTGACCAGCAAACAATCGTGTACATAGCTGAGATAAGTATTCAGGTGTGATCTAAAACAAACAAATGAAATACCATATATATCTAAAATAAGAATCAATGAAACATTTTCTTCATTCCCATTTTAGTCGTTTTTAGACTGACATTTTAGTTTTTATTTCTTTGTGTGAAAAGTCAGGGGCAGAATTTTGCCTCGACATGGGTGTTTCTACCTAATCTTTTCCCAAATCCATATGCTAAAGGATCTTTTACATCGACTACTATTTGAACATGGGATCTCCATTTGTCGTCCCTTCTGGCCAACTAGACATACACTTTCGTCAGCTAGCAGTCGCACTCGCTGACAAGTGGGAACAAGGTAGGAAATATAAGAAAACTTCTTCTTGTGGCAATGGATTTATGCTGCACTTAATTATCCTGTAGTTTTTACAATATTTTCAGTAATAGATAGGATTCTTATTATGGGGGTCTCGAACAAAACACGGGCCGCTTTTACTTAAGACAACATTTATATAAATGCCCTGTGATATAAACACTTCACAAAAGCCTGGAAATACATGTACCTGGTTGACACCGTTCTTTTTTAGAAAATGTCATTTAAAAAAATATTGCGAGTAAAATTCCCAGAATGTATCAAGGAGAAAATGAACTAAGTATAGGTCATAGATCAGAATCGAACCTAGCATGGTAATCAAATGAAATGTCTTATTCTTCTTCGCTAACCTGACTAAAAAAACAAAGACGAGCATACGTCATGCAATGGGCATTGAGAGAAATTTTACAATGATAGACTTGCTATGTTGTACTCTTATTTCGATTTCTATGTTTCAGGAATTCTTGGGAATCTTTAAGAAGCTGCCAATGGTATACACAGGACTCCATTTGTTTTGTCCAAAAGATTTGTCTCACCAAGCCTTCTATCTTGCACTAATGACAAGGGAAAACCAGGCCAGAAAACCCCCAAGGACTTCCTCAGTCAACACTGGGATCGTTATCAAGGCCTCCCACCATAATGACCAAACCACTGAGGCCCCCTTAAAGAAATACACCCTCTGTCACAGATTGTGTCATATTCAGATTCTGACAAATACAATTTGTCCAGTATTTTTTCCTGAATTTTACTGATGTGTTAATACCTATCTGGCACAAACATCTTCAGAATTTAGATTCAGATTCCATACAGGTCTCTTGTCTTGGATATATAAATTAATTAATAATGTATACTTTATATTATTTTACATGATGTGACAATGCAATAGGTGTAGGTGTACAGTGCTGGCTTATGACACAGGGGCTTGTAGCTAATAATATCAACAGATTTATAATAGTAATAATACTCTATATAACAAAACATGCCCTGCTGAAGTGACATTTGGTAGATGTGAAATATACAAGACATTTCAAATTATATCGATCATCATTATGATTTTTTTTTTAAACTACCAGTGCAAAACATTAATCTTTACAAATATGATACACTCTAATTTTAAACTCCTGGTGAAAACATTTCTTTTATCAAATGTGATCTGAATTACAACCAACTCTTGGTAAAGAAGATACGAGACAGTCATTAATAAAATATAGAGAATTCAATTACAGGCCCCTGTGTCTTAAAATGCCTGTGTGCTGATGGTTGCTGTTTGTGCATGAAGGCATGGAGTATCTGTTTGTGCATGAAGGCATGGAGTATCTGTGCATGGTCTGTTTGTGCATGAAGGCATTGAGTATTTGTTTGTGCATGAAGACATGGAGTGTCTGTGTACAGTCTTGTTTCTAGCAGTAAATGTTTTGTAAAGAGTGAATATGACAACATACATTCCTGTTCAAAGCAGACTTATCCTCAACCAATAATTTTAGAATGCAATTTTAAGATTACTTTTAATTGTGTATGGTCTGAAAGTCATTATATGTCTTTCAATTTGTTATATTGTGCCTGCAGCCTGTACTGGATGTACTTTTTCTAACCTAGTACCCACATAGTTTGATTTATTCCAGTTAACCAAGCACTGATTTATATGCAGGAGGGTTTCACGAAAAAAAATGTTACATGACTGAAAGAATTGAGTGTGATAATGATGTTGAAAAAACATTCCCAACCTGTCAATGCAGGCAAAAATAAGTTCCAATTCATGATTTTTTGTATCGGGCTATTCAATTCAGAAGTTTGATGCTGGTTAACAAGTCATAACTTTTACTTCCTTATATATACTCAGCCCCATTTGTCGGGCTCAACAATATATGTTGTCATTTTTGTGGATTAAAAAGAAACTTAATCATTTTTAGGTGGCTAGGTATCAATGAAACCCAACATATACAGTCCCCGCCTTTATATCTGAAGTTATCAAGAACTATGCAAATAAAATCAAATATTATGTGGGCAAGTGAAAATATTTTATCGACCAATACAATATGATAAAAGTGTTGTGAAGATTTTGTCGACTAATGAAATTGAAAATAAAAAAAAGGCAAGAAGCTGAAATAAATAAAAAAACAGAATAGAGAGAAACTGAAAGTAGTGGTATATATATATACACGTTACAAAATAAACTTGAATTTAGTTCTTCTACTTACAACCTTAGAATTATTTATCTGAGAGAAAATAATGAAAATTTACATGAAATTGAAATCATAATAAATGAAGGATCCTTTTTTTTGTAATCCAACATTTTGGAAATAAATACAGGAATTTGAATATTTTTCTCTAATAAGATTTTTAATGACTCTACAATTACATCAACTGGTTATAACATGGCCCAAGATCTGTGTGGTTACACCAAAATCTTTAAACAGATCTGGCATCAACATCAGTGGTCTTTATCCACAGATCTCACTACTGTTAACTAGCAAATAATAACATCAGTGGTCTTTATCCACAGATCTCACTACTGTTAACTAGCAAATAATAACCAATCTGAGTCCTTCTCTTCTGCAGGTCATAGATCAATCCCATTAAAAGTATAGAAAATTGCCCTATCTAATTAATCCTTTACAAGTCTCTAAATGAACAATTATTGAATTTAGAAGCCATATACAATGTACAATAAAACTTACCGGTTTTCCTTGAACTGTTGATTCTAGAGCATCAACAAGATCAGCTGTTATACCAATTAGATTATGATAATCAGCCTGAAAAATATTCATTTTTAATTGTAGGTCATAGGGTCAGCAAACACGTCACAAATCATCCATTACCTAGAATAGTATGATCAATAGAAATTTTTTCACATTATGAGGCCCGATTAAATGGATCATCACAACAAGAAACTCTATATAGGAACCCGTTCTTCTTAATGAACAATCTCATCAAGAACTCTGTCATTGCTTTAAAAGGATTGAATACATTAAAGGAGCTAAATTGCTAATATTTCTAATCAGTTATGTTCGGCGAAATATGCTGGAAGTCTCAATCGAATGGCATTCTCTAGTGCCCGATTATTCTAGTTTACACCAATAGTATTCATTGTGCATGTCCTCCAGATAAGAATATGAGGTCACTATTTGACATGACTTCTGGAATATGCCTAGTCGCCTCGTTCTTCGAGTTCCTTGTTACAAATGGTGCTGAAACGCATTATGATACACAATTCATGTACCAATGGTAAAATGTTTATTTTGTCATAAATATTGGATATCAGAAGCACATCTTTTCCCGGTAAGATCACATGTTGATTTAAATTGACAAATAATTTGTATTTTCAATGTCGAAGACTTTGGATAATATTGAGTTAGACACTTAGCTACTTTAAGCTTAAAGAGATAATTGCAAAATTTACAATAGACTTATAATCAAAAAATTGGGAATTTCAATATAGTTCATCTTTATGACACAATGAAAATACTAGTACCAAACAAATACATAGCTGACCTGTACTTTACTGTGTCTCTTCATATAAGTTGCTGTTTTTTTATCAGCATCTGTTAACTGTTGTTGTAATAGATTTATATGCTGTTCAGCAACTGTAATATAATAACATTAACTATTTAATAACCTCATCTTTTCAGGAATTGATTCAGACATGATGAGGCCCTAGGGGAGATTATAAAGGCTCTATCTAGTAACCAAGAACAAGGCAACAAATGGCATTTTTAAAAGTATGGCAAATTAATTGAATACAAGGTGCATGAAATTTCAAGTTAGATATAGCATTGTATTACTTCTACCAGCAGGACTCTTATAGCTATTACAGACTGTAATGGTTTACACAAAATGTTAAATAAATGAAATTACTGCTCTGTTTTAAAGCTGCAATTTCATATTTTTAAGTTATATTTTTAAAATTTATTAAAATAAAGCCTTAAAATAGATGGTATCCATAAACCGTCCTACCTTGTTAAAGAATAATCCTATTAATCCTATAAGTCACTATTGCCAGCTGAGAAATTGGCAAAAATATCATTTTCAACTTCAAATTCCAACGTTTGAAGGTAGCTAATGCATGGAGGCAATAGGAAAACAAGGGAGGTAATTGTGTTATTATTTCCTGTGTCAATGATTTTTAAGGGTGGGAAATAATGCCCATGGTCGTATAATAGTGAGTTAATAACCTATTGAGCAAAAGACATAGAAATAATTATGTTTTGACTTTCTTAGAAAATATGAAATTATCGCTTTAAGGTTAAGGAAGTCATGGTAATAAGCCTTATCATCTGTTCAGCCATTGCTATATTAACAACTGTGTTGACGTAGCAACTGGACCCAGGGAAAGATAACTAATCAGAAACACTAGATGTTTAACAATGGGTAATCAGCTAAGAATGTTTGCAGAGAGAATGGGGTTTAATGTCCACTTAACACAAACTTGATCATTTTAGGACTAAAGAGAAATGCTTGCAACCACTACTTAAAAATTAATATGCATAAAGCTAAAGCTAATGTTTCTGCAAAAGTGCAAATTGCAGAAAAGGTTATTTCTGACCCAGATGTACCTTGGCTTCATTGTCAAATGAGTTTCTTGGAAACACCATTTATATGTGAGTTTGTGAAATCGTTTTCTCAGTAGATTGTACTGGTTTCATTACTCGTTTTAGAGAACATATCACTAACTCAACGGACTCTGACCCTAAAATAAACATGGAATAAATGCGATATAAATGTTTTTGATTAACTAACCTTTAATATCAGTCGTTCCTCCACCTCTCTTATAGAAAGTTAAGTTTCATAAACACACAGGTTAAAAGTTTCATTCAATCAAAACATCAAATTCGGGAAATATTTTCAAACATGCTTGTTAATTGTGTGTAATATAGAAGGGTCTTGATATAATTTGGTGTAGCTGCTGGAACCCACAATCAAGGGCATTGTCAATCTGTTTTTGTAACATATAAGGGATGTTCTCAAACATGGATGTAGTTGGTGAAGCCATACTCAAGCTTTATCGACATGCCCTTAAATTATGTGTAGAACTAAATGATTAGAAGCATCTCAAAAGATTAATTATTGGTGTTAATACCTTAGAATAATATTTGAAATATTTCTTAACTATGAAATGAAATGGGGTTTAACGTCTTACTGTTCTGTTCTGACTGGGCTAATGAAGACGGGCATACACCATACAGTGTGCTATGAGGGAAATTTTACCCAGAGAGCAGCGTTAAGGCCTACTCTTCTATCGAATTCCAACTGCCAAAGGATCTTTTATGTGCATGACAATGCGTACATGGGACCTTTGTTTTTTGTCCCATCCGAATGACTAGACAGCTGCCTCGTCAGGCCCTCCATCCTGCACCACTGATGAGGGGAAACCACGTCAAAAAATCATGATGAACTTTCTCGCCAAAGCAGGGATCAAACACGCGACCTCCATACTAGCGAGCCAATGTTTTACCCACTTAGGCACCGTGGCTCCTCTTAACTATGAACATTCTGCCAAAAAAGAATAAAGTTTTCAAAATTTCAAATCGTTGATTGCGGTTGATATTTTTATATAAAGATACATATAGATCAAAGAGCCTTGGTTGTGGTGTAGATTTTAAAGCCAGAGTTAGAAATTTATCTAATCTAACTTCCATATCTTGTGACCAGCTATCCTGTAAAAAGAAAAAACATAACAATTAGAATCTGTTTATACATTAAAAGAAAAGGGATGGAATTTAACGTCTCATCAACCCAATACTTCGATCAGTTGGTAACTACCATACATTTTCTTTTTCTATGGTCATATGTGCAATGATAGGAAGGGTGAATTTTGCCCAGTCAGCACCATTTCCACCCTTTCTTCGTCATAAGGGATATAACATGCATGAAAAGATGTACACTGATGGAGTCAGTTTTTTGTCCCATGCAATGATTCAAATAACTACTTAAAACTACATGTAGGTAAAAACATTTCAACAGCCCTGCAGGTGCTACATGTACACCTGACAGGCTTACAAACAAATCAGAAATTTTTTTTTGATTTTTTGAAAATAATATTTTATAAAAACTGAACAAATTTACAATTTAAAATAAATAATAAATCAATAAATTGATAACATACCAGAAATAATTCTTTATAAGATGGATGTGCTTTAGGATTAGGTACAAATGGCAAGGCGTAAAATGGCAGGAATTCTGTTGTTTGACTTAGAGTTGCTCCTCGATTCTCCAGATATTGTTTAAATTCTCCCATGCTTTGATCAACTTCCACCTAAAATACATGTACATTACAAAATTCTACTTTCGATTTATCTTAATATTATTGTTATTCTGTTAAAACAGTAGTTTATTATTATAAATGATGTCTGTAAGTAAACTCATAAACCAACTATTCATCTCTATCCTTAAATAAGATATCCTTATACACGTAACAAGCCAGATTTTTCAAATATGTCTCAAAACAGCCAGATTGTTCAAATATGCCTCAAAACAAGCCAGATTGTTCAAATATGTCGAAAAACAGCCAGATTATTCAAATATGCCTCAAATAAGCCAGATTGTTCAAATATGTCTCAATAGTCAAAATATATACTAAATGTAGACTTGTGTTATTTTGTAATTAAGAACATCTAATTAACAAGCCAACAGTGAGGCTGATGTCCCCCGCCGAAATTGCAAAATAAATAGATGACACATATTAATTAATCGCACATTTATTTTTTTCACTAAGTTTCATCACTCTCTATCAGATAGAATCAAGATTATCTTGTCCCAAACCATCGACAAATGAAATCGATTAGCTCTGCTTAGCTTCAGCTCGAAATGTTAATTATTGAACTCAGTCAAGACATTCACCTAATGAACATCTACATATACATCAAGTTTAAACATTCACCTAATAGACACCTATGCCAAGTTTGAACATTCTACCTCAATTAGAAGGAGAGTTATTGTGTTCCAAAGTTTCTACCAATCAAATTGCTTATCACTCTGCTTACCCTCAGCAAAAAATGTTCATTATCGAACTTAGTTAAGGTATTCATATAATAAATCTATACACCAAGTTTCATCAATCTCACTTAATTAGAACTAAAGTTATCGTGTCCCAAAGCATCAACCAATCAAATTGCTTATCTCTGCTTACCCTTAGCGGAAAATGCTCTTCTTCGAACACCATCAATTCATTGACCTAATCAACACATACACCAAGTTTGAACATTCTAGCTCAATTAGGAAGAGAGTTATCGTGCCCCAAAGTATCAACCAATCAAATTGCTTATCTCTGCTTACCCTAAGCGGAAAATGCTCATCTTCGAACTCCATCAAGGCATTGACCTAATAAACACATACACCAAGTTTGAACATTCTAGCTCAATTAAAAGTTATCGTGTCCCAAAGCATCAACCAATCAAATTGCTTATCTCTGCTTACCCTAAGCGGAAAATGCTCATCTTCGAACTCCATCAAGGCATTGACCTAATCAACACATACACCAAGTTTGAACATTCTAGCCCAATTAGGAAGAGAGTTATCGTGTCCCAAAGCATCAACCAATCAAATTGCTTATCTCTGCTTACCCTAAGCGGAAAATGCTCATCTTCGAACTCCATCAAGGCATTGACCTAATAAACACATACACCAAGTTTGAACATTCTAGCTCAATTAGGAAGAGAGTTATTGTGTCCCAAAAAGTGTGACGGACAGACAGACGGACAGACAGACAGACGGACGAACCCATTTTAATAGTCCCCTGCTTTCTTCGAAAGGCGGGGGACAAAAAAAAAACTACATGAAGACTGAGCTTTGTATGGTACAAAAATTGAAATATTACCACACCATACATACCAAGACAAGACACATAGCACAGATAGCGCACAAACATTGAAAGGAATCCTGGCCGTAAAGATCCTCTGAACTGTTGAGTCCCTGATATACAGTGATACAGGCTTTAGTTGAAATGAAAACACACTCACAACAAGGGAGTCATTTTGTTACAATAAACATCAAGGTTTCAATTAAAAGATAATTTTTCAAAAACATATAATTAAAATAAACTGACATACCTGAGACTTTTCCGCTTTAATTGGGTAAATAGCAAAAAATATATGTATATAAAATTCTAATTTCTGAGCCACTGAATCATCATTCCGGATTTCTTGTGGTAAATGTTCATTCCATAATTTAAAATATTCATCCCGCTGACCTTCACGATATGCTTTCAATAACTCATTCTATAATATAAATAGAAACGTAGAGCAAAGTTGAAAATACAAATGTAGAAATGAAATGGAGTTAAATGTCCTACTGTTCTGCTCTGAACTGGGCTAATCAAGATGGATATACACCATACAGTGTGCCATGATGGAAATTTTGCCTGGACAGAGGCACTATTGCCTACTCTTATATTGAATTCCAACTGTCAAGGGATCTTTTACGTGCACGTCAACCAATATGTACACAGGACAGCTGTTCTTGTCAGGCCCTCCGTCCTGGATCACTGACAAGGGGGAACCATGCCGGAAAATCTGGACGAACTTTCTCAGCCAATGCAGTGATCGAACACCCGACCTCCAGGCTAGCAAACCAGCGCCTGCCCACTTAGCCACCATGACCCCACAAATATAGAATACAATATGATAAAAACATGGCCTGATCCACTCTGGCCTGTCAATGATAAGATTCTGTATTACTAACCTGTATATCTAATGTTTTAGTATTTGACTGACTTCTACTTTCACTGATGGCAATAGGTTTCCCTTTCTCACTACATTCATCTTCAAAACTACCAATTGTCTTCTCAAATGAGTTGAAGGCTAAATACTTTGTAAAGAAACATCACAAAATATTTTTATCAGAGATACAAGAGAGGTGTATACCAGTAGGCTTATATCACTAATATCAGTGTGACTCAGGGTCTAAATCATGAAGCTGATATTTTCTATACTTATACTATAAATTTTAGGAGCAATTTGGTTATCATAATGATGAGCTTTTACCTCAACAGCAATTTCTACTCTACATTTATAAGCATTTTGCATAGCGAATGACACAAATTTTAGAAGTAGATTATACTGCTACACTATAATTAGTGTCCTGCGTACTTAATTGTTCCACTAATAGCCTAGCTGTGAAGTGAATAAATTAAATATTAAGATCTTAGCTAATTTAATCTGTGCCATTTAGGAATAAAAACTACATGTATGATATACATGTACATTATATAGTCCAATGCATAATTCTTTCTCTATTCACTGAGATGAAACTTTTTCTATGAATACAATTATATTGCTTGATTTGAAATTGTCAGAGATCTTGAATATGTTCAATCTGATTAAAACACAGATCCTATTTTGTTTCGTTTTACTTGTCTTTACTACACTAGTCACTAGGATCTGGAAGAGTTATCATTGATGTGTTCTGGATGATGCGAGGGATTAGCCAATGAAATGGTCTATTACAACAAGCTTTTGGTGTGAGGTGCACGATACTGTGGGTAATCCACCAGAAACATCAATGCTGATTGGTTAATCAATTGTCTGACGTCATAGGGTCAAAAGCCGCTTGTATGAACTCTGACGCGACCTACAATAACAACTGTTCAGATCTTCATGTAGTGTAGGCCATTGAAGGTATAAAAAAAAAAAACGAAACGAAATATAGATCTGTATTTTAATCAGATTGGAATAAGCTTACATGTATAGGTTTTATCAATTAAACTAAACCCTTCAAATTTTAAAAGTAAGTGCATGAGGACTGCAACACACACAAAAAACCCAACAAAGACAAGGCATACAATCCACAGACATTGCAAGCGTCAAACAACATGGGATAGATATAACATTTACCTCTTTAACAATTCCATTAAGTTCCCCTTCAAAGGCCACCACAGATAAATTACCAGACATTGTTAATAAAAATTAAGATCAGGTCTAAACTAAAACCTTGAAATAAAAAAAAATAACATTTTATTTATGTAATCTAAAATCTTTGTCATGAACAATTAAGTTGGTGTGTTCATCTGAAAGTGCTGTACAGTTTTGACAGCTTTGATTTGAATGATGTCAGGTAAGATTATATGTTTAAAGGACACTGTTGGTGTCAGCCAATATTAAATATGTGATAGAACTGGTTAAACACATTTCGAATATAATTTTAACAAAGAGATCTTTGCTACGGTAGATGACAGATGTGTAACGAAGATTTGAAGAAATGGGAAGTGGCGCAAGCAAAAGGAAAACACAAGTTTTCCTTATTCAGACTGATGTAGAGAGTGATAACAGATACAAGGTCAATTTCAGCTCACTGTTAATTTCTTTGAAGACAAAAAGTTGTTACATGTATATTAGACAGCGTCTTACCCACTTAGCCATGGTGATCCCCACCATGTAGATTACAAATAGCAATTCTGTGTGTGACTCTAAGAATGCGATCTTTATTCCTTTGCCATCAACAACAAAAATAATTTCAAACTTTTAGCCTATTCAGATTGAATTTCAGGCCTATTTTGCACATTTTAAGCCCATTTGTAATTCTCTTTATAGTGGGTGTGGTATTTCAGAGATATTTTAGTATGCCAGATGGATATACGTAGTAGCTCCGGCTTTTGAATTTAACATCTGATTATAAGTACTGGTCGGCATTGTGTCCGAGGTAGGGTCACTTACTCTTTCTAAAACACCTCATACCACTTCTAACGTTAAGAGTTCATAAACCTACCCAGTATTTATTTTACTTTACTTCTGTATATAAATACCTGGTTTGCAGTTGCCGAATACACAAGCGAATTTTAAATTTTGTTCAATTCTGACCAGAAGTAGGCTTACATGTAGGCTACACAAAAATCCACAGACATATTAATTATTCAATGAACTTTTATTGCACGGATGACAATTAATATGAATGCAGTATCTGATAATTTAAGATCGTCTAAGTACCGTTTTTAGAGTGCATACCAAATTGAGATTTGTGACCCATGTGGCAGTCACCGAAGTAGGCCTAATTGTAAAAGAATAATGATAAATAGAGCATAAATACAAACAAGGTACTCCAAGGAAGTATTTCTAATTTTCTTGCTTTCTCTTGTCTAGTGACAGTCTCATATATTATATATAACAACTTTTTGTCTTGAAAGAAATTATCAGTGAGCTGATCGAAAATTGACCGTATATCTGTTATCGCTCTGTACTTCAGTCAGGAAGGAAAACTTGTATGGTTTTTTGTTTGCGTCACTTCCCATTTCTTCAGATCATTGTTACAGTGATATTGAAAATTTGAAATTGAATCATATATTCTTAAGTTAAGTTTATTAATATTTAAATCAATTTCTACCACGCCCAACTACAATTAAAGGAAAATGTTGGTATCAGCCAATATTATATTGTAATTAACATATCTGATAGAACTGGTTATATAAACACATTCCAAATAATAATTTTAACACAGAGCGATGATTGCATTGCTACGTGTTGATGAATTGAATAATGAATATGATGATAAAAAAATAATAAAATAAAAATGACTGTTTTTGTTCAGTCAATTGTACAACGGAAGTACGGAAACAGTTTGATCGGCATCAAATATTTTATTGGAAATCTTTAAATGAGGCTGGCATATTTTCACAAAAATAATAGCCTAATATGAGATCTTTTATAAAACATTCAATTCATGGTCCACGGAAAAATAAAAACAACGCGGTTATCTCCCTTTACCTCTGGCGTCGTGGACAACCGATAATTTTATCATGAAAAGCTATCAAAATTACAGAAATTATTATGCATTTCCCTAAAGAAATGACTTCCATGAATGATGTATTCGAAGAATAAGCTGATAATCATTATAATGTGTCTAATTTCGGACATGAATACGTAAAACTGTAACGACATACCAAACCATTTTTTCCAGAACAGTGTACAGGAAGTAGTTATTTACTCCGCAGTAAATACTTTTGACAAGTCTGAACGAAAAAGAATGAATCAAAATATTTTATTTTTTAGCTTGATACCACTCTTGGCATAATTTGAATTCGAAATAAGATTAGGCCGTAGCATGGGCGGCGGATACCGAAATTTTGAAAAGAGAGAGTATGCCGATCGAAGCGAGGCAAAAATATATTTTGAACCTTTTTTACTTACCATTTTCCCCCAAAATGAACCCATGGCAAATGAATTAAAAGTGCAATTTGTTTGAGACATTCTTATTTCCGACAAAGAGATATAAGAAAGGCATAAGAAAAGAGAGAACCCCGAGCGGACCCAGCCAAATAAATTTATCATAGCGCTTCGAAACTTAATTAATACCTGATAAAATAACATAGGGCCTACTCTTTCTTTAGGCTACGTTGATTTTTGTGCCTTTTACAGATTTTATAACATTTTATATAATACAATATATTGACAAATCAGCAGTAAGTTAATTAGCAAAATCTTTGGGACCTTAATTTTCAGAGAAAACACCAATCGCAAAATGTAATATATATAAACAGTTTGTGCCATTTTTATTACCGTTTCGTACAATTTATTTCCGTTGCGCAGTTTTGATTTCTTACCGATAATTATGTGTAAGAAAGAACCGAGCCGAGGGATGCGAAACAATTTCTGTCAAAAAAGAAAAAAAAAGAAAAGAAAAAAAAAAGAGTTTATTATAATGATCGATCCACCCAGACCCGTTTTTGAATCGTAGCCTACTTAAAATCCCCCCCCCCTCCCAGATAAGTTGGTTAAGGGTAATATTACGATATTACGAGAACCCTAAATTAAGGATGAATAAATGAAGAATATGCCCTTGTAAGTTTATAGAGAATTGACAATTAAATTGGTGAGGTTAATATCGTAAACAGTGTCAATCCAGAGAACCGTTTTTAATGTTAATATAAAATGCCTATACAAAAAAAGGAAAGTTGATGGGGAGGGGGGGGGGCGGTGCGCACTCGCGCAGTATCCGCGCCTGCATAGCGCCGCTTTCCGGAAAAAATTGCCTTATAACGCACGCCCGTCTTCATAAGACCGTCTCTGCAGGAGAGTTAGAACAAACAACATTTCATTTATTTCGCACCTAAGCTAAAGTTTTTACACCAACTCCTTTAGTTTCATTTCGATTTGTAGTTAATTAAATACCAGGAAGCAAAATGAAATGAAATGGGGTTTAACGCCCTGCTGTTCTTCTCCGGCTGGGCTAATGAAGACGGGCATACGCCATACAGTGTGCTATAATGAGGGAAATTTTACCCGGGAATTCCAACTTCCAGGGGATCTTTTACGTGCACCCCAATGTGTACACGGTACCTCGGTTTTTCGTCCCATCCGAACGACTAGACAGCTGTTCTTGTCAGGCCCTCTGTCCTGCATCACTGACAATTAGGGGAAACCACGCTGGAAAATCTGGATGAACTTTCTCGGCCTATATACCAGGAAGCGCTTTGGCCAAATATAAAAAAATTGTAGTTTTCGGTTACTAGAAATAAGTGAACTGATACATTAATCTTTTAATATATACTGCATCGATGCTGGCAGTCTTTAGCCTTTGTAAACTTTGTGATCGTAAAGTGTTTATTATGTATTCCACTGCACTTCTAGCTTAATTACGGAGTAGGCCTAAAGATTCTGTAAAATAATGCTGATTCCGACTGTTAACAGTGTTGTCAGCAGAAAAGCGCACCAAGACCGATTTATAAAACCTGCGAAATGAGAAAAAAGGTTAGGATCGGCGATTTGGGCTTAAAAAAAATAGGGTAACCGTAAACACATGTAATTAATAATATGTTTTGGCCTTGGATATAGCGATCGATTGCTATAAGGTCCACGTTAACTGGGGACTGAAATACTTTCTAGTGATATATGTATTACAGATCTGTTAAACCAATTCTTTAATTTCCTCCTTCCTTACTAGACAAACTGATTGTAAATTCCCACAAAGGATGATGCACATGCTATGATCCCTATATCAATAAACATCTTTTATACGCCCACAACGTGGACGTTGCGGTTGAGCCTGTACACCCGTCAGTCCACAACTGCTTGCATTTGTCTGTACCCTTAAATTCCTGTATGAAATGTATTATGGGTCCGTGCTAATGCAAAGAGGAACACTACTGTCTTATTGCACGGAATTGACGACATGGAAAACACCCTCAATATTTTTAAAACTGTCCACTCGTTTTCCCAAATCACCAGACGGTTCAAGGGACAACTATAACGCAATCATTGTAATTATATTTTCACTTGATTGCTTGCTTATATTAAAAATGTAAATCCATTCCAGGGACAACTATAAAACACTCGCTGTAATTATGTTTCACTTGTGCATTGCTTGCTTATTTCTAAAATGTAAATACATGTACATGTATCTACATGTATATCTGACAGGGAGAGGGGTTTAATATAGGCTTAATATTGACCATGCTTTTTCCCCAATCCCTATTTAGATACAAATCTGAATAAAAATATTGCTTATAAAAAAAACCAAAAAAAAAACCTGTCGATTGTGGTGAAGATACGATATTTTTTTATAACAGATCTGTTAAACCAGTGGTTCTCAACTTTTTTTGCCAACGGCACACCTTGGAACACGTGTAAAAATAGCGGCACACCTGGCTAAATATTATATGAACAATATTTGAATTTTGCAAAACAAAAACATGGTAAGTCAGACGGCATACAACTGTCATAGACACATAAAACTAAATAAAGAAAAACACAGCTATGAACATACCAGTAGACACCAGTGAATACCCAATTAGGATCACGTGATTTTTTTGCATTTTCTTAGTGTGCCGTTAAAAATTTAGGAAGATCTCGCGGCACACTTGTGTGCCACGTCACACTGGTTGAGAATCACTGAAATAAAAAATATAAATATTGGGTTTTTGTGCTGCCATGGGATCTTGTTTCTCAAATAAAACCATGCATCTGGATCAAGATGTGGTTTTTAACAAGACAACGCAAAATAGAAGTTTAAAAAATAAGATAAGGGGGCAGGCCAAGATCAAAGCTCGGTTGGTGTAGATGTCTTACAAAGCCCCATACCTATATCTGAAAAAAGGTATAAAAGCTAGGCAACTATTGACAACACGAACCGCAACTCTACCTTCTCTATGGATAATGGAACAACGTCAAAACTTAAAGGTAACGGCAAGTTATTATGACGTCATAATAGTATATCATCATCTGAGCTGGAATCTTCATTGAACCCGCACGCTTTAAGAAGACTTTCTAGGAATTTATTTATCAGTAGGCCTATTTACTTTGTAAAAGTGGAAAAAGGGGTATGTATTACATAAGAATTGAAACTGAAATGAAATGAAATGGGGTTTAACGTCCTACTGTTCTGCTCCTATGCTGGGCTAATGAAGACGGGCATACGCCATACAGTGCGCTATGAGGGAAATTTTGCCCGGGCAGCGGCACTATCGCCTACTCTTATATCGAATTCCAACTGCCAAGGGATCTTTTACGTGCATTCCAATGTATACACGGGACCTCGGTTTTTCGTCTCATCCGAAGGACTAGACAGCTGTCCTTGTCAGGCCCTCCGTCCTGCAACACTGACAAGGGGGAACCACGCCGGAAAATCTGGATGAACTCTCTCGGCCAACGCAGGGATTGAACACCCGACCTCCAGGCTAGCGAGCCAGCATCTTACCCACTCCCCCGAGAATTGAAACTATTTAAATATATTTCTGATGAAAATTTTGTATCCATATTTAAATTGCTTATTAAGATTTAAACAGAGAACCCGATGGTTCAACGAGATGTGTAGACCTAGGCTATGTACATGTTTCACGAACTTTGAATTAATTCTATTTTCTTTTATTAGATAACTATTTAAAATGGATGACATGATTGACAACGATCTTCATACCTTCCTGAACAATTGGTTATGTAAGTAATATTCAAATATCGACACATTATTTCAACTAGACAGAGTTAGGGTTAGGGTCAATATTGCTACTGGTCATTTCAGATCATTCTTGCTCCCAGAAATTATGACCATTATGTCGGGAATATGGTAAAATATTGAAAACAATTATATCGATCATTGTATCATCTCATCAGTGTTCGCCTAGTCTTTGTAAGAATACGTGTCAAAGCGAAAAAAGCCCATTCCACCAACAGTTTTGGTGTCTTGGACCCTTCTTTTCCGTTTTGAAAAACCCTAATATCAACCCAGACAAAGAGACACACAAAATATATGTAATAAAAACAATGTACAGGTATAAAAGTGTATCCGCCATTTTATTTCATGGAAATCACGCTGTCCAATTTTCATATTTTTCAGCCAATTTGACGTTTGATGAGAGAACAAGTTTATTAATTGGAGCTTGTCAAATGAGAAAAAGATATTCTAAGATAGAAAATCATCCGTCTACAAATACAATAGCCTTAAATAGATTAATACAAAATCTCGGTTCACCAAGAGATTTAAACCAAGAACATGGTAAATATCCAACAGAACCTGTAGTAGTTGTTGTATCTACTGGCAACCCTGATTTAAGCAGTGACGAGGATGGTTATGTATTGTCTACTGATGGCAGTGATGCTGATGATGAACTATCTACTGATGATGAGCTATTGTTTAGTAGTGATGATGATGATGATGATCTTCCAAACAGACTTGAAGAACCCTTTAAAGGTACCGCTAATTATGATATGACTTTAAAATACCTGCTTGAGTTGGCTGAATTAGACTACTGTCTGAAATGTATAATATTCCCATATAAATAAAATAAATTGGCGGACCTATATTTTAGAATATATTGTGTTGAGAGCGCGAGGTCCGACTGTAATGTCTGAAATATATCATAGTATACTCCTATATGAATACAATCCGTATATATAGCTAAATTGCCGGACCTCTATTTTAGTCTTAGTATATATTTGGTTGAGAGCGCGCGGAGGGGGGGGGGGTCTAAGGCGTGTACTATAGATCGTAAGGTCTGTCATTGAGTGAGTAAGTAAGTAATTTGTTTTTTATAGTGTCACATACTGCATACAAGAATATATATATACATGTATTACCTAAAATAATAGCAGTCTCCAGCCCATATCGACTTACGATATGGCCGGGTTTCGATTCGGGTTTCCCCGACTGCTAATGAAATTTACATGCAAGCGAAATGTTGCAATGGGATTGAATCTTATTTTGGCAAGGCCTTGGTAAATATCAATTTAGTACGGCCTCGATAAATGTCATTATTGAGATTGTTGGAAAATACCACTTTTGAAATTTAGTACGGTCTCGGTAAATGTCATTGATTTTTGGTAAATATCACTTTTGAGTGTTGGTAAATCCCTTTTATCCAAAGTTCGTAATTTCATACATGTTTTTTAGGGTGAATTCTTATCTTAATTCATGATGGGGAGTTAAGATATTAAATGTATAATTTATAAACTATTCTCTTACAGATAAATTATATTATTGTATTTACAGGTATCAATAATACTAATCCACGTTTTATACAGAAAGATATAGATGCTGTAACTACAGGTATAATATTGTCTTATTTTATTATACTTTATCTGAGGGGTTGGATGGCCGAATGGTTAGCATGTGCGTGCTGTATCATAAGGCCTGTCATTGAGTCAGCTGGCGTCGTTTCGAATCTCCGGTTGTACGTGACAAGTAGTAGGGTCGCCTGTCCAACCTCGTGGGTTTTCTCCGGGTCCTCCCACTACTAAAGACCCCTACGCGCAAGCGAATTATTGAAATAAAATTAAACCATATGTTAGTCCCGAAATGACCTAGTTTGTGTCGGGTTGACGTTAAACCCCATGTCTCTCTCTTCTTTATCTTATTTTACGATCACTATATTTTACGATCACTATATTTTACGATCACTATATTTTACGATATTTTACGATCACTATATTTTACGATCACTATATTTTACGATCGAATGAAATGAGGGTTTAACGTCATACCTTTCTACACTGACAGGGATAATGAAGACAGGCATACGCCATACAGTATGCTATGATGGAAACTTTTCCCCGACAGCGGCACTACGGCCTACTCTTATTTCGAATTCCAACTGCCAAGGGTTCTTTTATAGCACACCAATGTGTACACGAGACCTCGTTTTTTGTCCCATCCAAACGACTAGACACTGTTCATGTACCACTGAGAATGTAAAACCAGACTGGATAATCCAGGGGAACTTTCTCGGTCAACAACGGGATAGAACCCAGGACCTCCTGGCTACAGAGAGCCAGCACTTTGCTCAATGTGCTTTCAGCTAATTCTTTGACAATTTAACTACTTCTGTTTCCTGACATTTAAATGTTATATTTATTTATAGTTTTAGATTTAACCCCTACCTCACCAACAAAACCTAAAGAATCCAGATTACGACGATGGAGAAGGAAAGCGGCTAAAAACTTAAAGAAACTATTCACATGCTGTGTTCAAACAGATGACATGTATGTCTAAGAATTCAATAAAAACATTAAAATTTTGACGAAATTAAAGAATGATAATAATAATAAACAAAAAAGAAAAAAAAAAGAAAAAAAAAACAGAAAAAAAACCCCGAAAGGACAAACAAGTCTACAATTTGAAATCTATTTGTTATAACCGCCATATACATTATTTATGTAATATTTTTATAGAAAGTTTCATAACGATTATTAAGACACCTGTAGGCTACGGGGTTATAGAGACGCAATTTCAGGTAAAAGGACCGCAAAAAAAACCCCCAAATTCTTTATTATTATTTTAAAAATGGTATTTTTTATTTTTTATTACGGGATATACATTATTTATTGTTATACAGAATAACGTTTATAGCATTTTAAATAAAGTTTCATAGGGTTTAGTTTAGTATAGCTAATATTTCAAAGAAAAAAAACTAAAAACAAAAACAAAACAATATTATATTTATTATATGTTATTTATTTAATATTTTATATTACGCAATATACATTTTATTTATATACATAGTATTTTAAGCATAATGTCCAACATTAGCCTACTGTTTGAAGATGTAAACCCGATTTCTTTTTTTATGACGACAAAAATCTGTTTTTGTTATACATTTATTATACATTTGTTATATTATGTCATTTGTATTTATCAATATTTGATTTAATACATATTGATCTTCTTTTCATAAAAAATAAACAAAAAAATTATCAATCAATGATTTTATTTCTTTTTCATGTTTCTTTAAATGAAAGGGTTGGACCCTATATATACGGAGCAGGTTTGACCTGTAAAAAAAACCCCCAGGTTACCACGACGTAAGGTATGGAAGGATAACGTTGCCAATATTATTTCAATGTTCACTGTACAAACTGCATATGTCAGCAGTTCAAAATACGTATTTTAGTTTTACAATTTGCAATTTCAATTGCTCCACAATACCATTGTCACACTGTTAAAATACAGAATACACTTTTCAATAATACAAAATACAGTATGTTATTTTGCACATTACACTTATCCGTTCCGCATTTTGCATAATAGACAAATGCATAATAAAACTTCGCATATTAGATAACTGGAATTCGTATTAAGACAGGTATGTTTAGGCATACCCCCGTCATTTAATAGAGTTTCGTATCACCCAACTATAATCGTTTTTCTTTCCTCTTGTAGAGAGAGAGAAATGGGGTTTAACGTCCACTCGACACAAACTAGGTCAATTCGGGACTAACATATGGTATAATTTTATTTACATAATTCGCTTGCGCGTAGGGGTCTTTAGCAGTAGGAGGAAACCGAAGACCCGGAGAAAACCCACGAGGTTGGACAGGCGACCCTACTCCTTGCCACGTACAACCGGGGATTCGAAACCACGCCAGTCGACTCAATGACAGACTTTATGATACAGCGCGCGCACGCTAACCATTCAGCCATCCAACCCCCCTTTCCCCTTGTAAGTGATCCGGGAGGGCCAGACAAGGACAAATGTCTAATCGTTCGGATGGGACAAAAAAAAAAAGAAAAAAAAAGAGGTTCCGTGTAAAAATTAGCATGAGCGTAAAAGATCTCTTGGAAGTTGGAATTCGATACAAGAAGGCTGTATAAAGCGTCGCTGTCCGGGAAAATTTTCCCTCACACTGCCTGGCGTGTGCCCGTTTTCATTAGCCCAGAACAGTAGGATGTTAAACCCCATTTAATTTCATTGCATTCATCGTTTTCAGAAGGTCTGTAAATACCACCCACTTCTACTGACAAAGTCGATCGCGTAAATTATTAATTTCCGTCCTAGTCCGGACTTTTTTTCCGTATGCAAATGAGCTTCGTCGTAGATCTCATATAAGGTATATGTTCTAATATGCTAAGTTTTATTATGCATTTGTCTGTTATGCAAAATGCGGAACGGATAAGTGTAATGTGAAAAATAACTATTATACTGTATGTTGTATTATTGAAAAGTGTATTCTGTATTTTAACACTGTGACAATGGTATTATGGAGCAATTGAAATTGAAAATTGTAAAACTAAAATATGTATTTTGAACTACTGACATATACAGTTTGTACAGTGAACATTGAAATAATATTGGCAACGTTATCCTTCCATATATGGCATGCTTGGATGGTGGATATTGAGCTCTGCTTTTGTTTAGGGTGGATATTGAGATCAGTCATGCTTGAATTGTGAATATTGAGATCAGTCATACTTGCATGGTGGATATCGAGATCAGTCATGCTTGAATGGTGAATATTGAGATCAGCCATGCTTGCATGGTGGATATTGAGATCAGTCATGCTTGAATGGTGAATATTGAGCTCTGTAATACATGAACGTTGATTTTCAAGATCTGTAATGCTTCAGCGTTTATTATTGGGATCGATCATGCTTGAATGTTGATTATTGACGTCGGCTATGCATCGGTGATGACTATTTTTACAAATAATTTGTCACATTTCCCTCTAGCCCGATTGGTGCAGAGCCGTAGGACCCTAAACCCCATTTCATGTCATTTATTAATACTGTTAACAAAGTGTTTCCCATCCTCAATTATTTAATTTCTATCTTTTTTTTGTAGAGAGTTGTCGGTGAAATGAATCGTTTGGGTATGATGATAGATAGGTCATTTCGGGACTAACACATGGTTCAATTTTATTTCAATAATTTGCTTGCGCATAGGGGTCTTTAGTTAGCAGTGGGAGGAAACCCACGCCAGTCAGGTAAAACCGGGGAATCGAAATCACGCCAGTTGATTAAATGACAGACCTTATGATACAACGCGCACGCGCTAACCATCCGGCCATCCAACCCCTCAGAATCAACTAAGTCTTTCTTGCTCTCTCTGTATTTCCCTTTTGCATGGCCATTTTGTCTTGAAATTTTGATCTAAAATCGGGGAAAAGTGTTTGCATTTACATTTTCTGCAAGGTTTTGGTAAATATTCATGGTTTAGAGGCGGACGGAAAACAGAGCTAAAAGGTTGATTACGGTGATATGTATGTCGGATAGTTAAACGCTGTTGTATGCTAATACAAGTTTGTGTCACATGATTTCAGTAATCAGCATCGTACAATTTTTCCTGCCAAGATATGGCCAAGTTTGCGTTCAGTCCAACGACAATTTTGGAAAAAGTCTGCTCCGGGAAAAAATACTTCATTTTTTAATTTTCTAAAAAGTGAAGAAAACAGGGTACAGTACTGTAACAAAAGCGTAGCCCTCCGCACCCCACCACCAATATCATACACCCATGTCACCCGCTCTTCTGGTCTGTGAGTTGTTTTTGTATATTGAAGATTCCACGACAGTTGGACGTCTAAATGAGAGCAATTTTATAGCGCCACTGCTCGGACAAAGTTTCCTCATACCACACAGCAAGGTATAACCTATGCTCGTTTTCTTTAGTACCGCGAGAATAGACAAAAAAAAATTAAATATGACAGTGAACTCCATGGTGTCCCCTAATGCTGACAAAGAGTAGGCTGCATCGCCGCTGTCCAGGCAAAATCCCCCCCCCCCCCCCCTCATAGCAACCCACTGACTCAAATACCAGGAGATCCTGTGTTGAAAGTTTGAATTTCTCCCATACTGCATGGCGTACCTTCATTAGTCCGAATGGAGCAGATAATGAGGACGTTTGATTTCATTTCTAAAATATGGTTGGCGATGACAAACTGCAGTTTATATTAAAACACATTCTCACCTACAAAAATTGTACACCTTTAATATCAGGTGTAACGATCCGAAATAGGTGTTTTAATTTATAAATTATACCGGTAATGTCCTTACTACAAGCAAAAGTTATAAATGCGTCGGGAGACGCCGTGAGTAAGACTTTGGTACGGTTACCTGGAGATCCCGTGTTCGCTCAAACTGTTGGCCGAGAAAGTTCATCTGGATTTTGCGGCATTTTTCCCCCTTGTCAGTGGTGCAGGACGAAGGGCCTGGCAAGGGATAACGTATAGTCGTTCAGATGGTACCAAAAACCAGGGTCACGTGTACACCTTGGCGTGCACGTAAAAGATCTCTAGGCATATAAGAGTAGACCGTAGCGCCGCCTTTGTGGGCAATAATTTCCCTCATAGCGCACTGTATATGACGTAAACTCGTCAGCATTAGCCCATGCAGTAGGTGTACATTAAATTTCATTTCATTTATACATGCGTTACTAATTGTGTCTGTGTACCTGGATACCACCCAATTATAATATAGAAAAGTTCTAAAGGTTTCAAATCTAAGAATGAATGTATGTACATCTCCACATGAAGGGCTTTTAGTGTCCGGTGATGCATAGACCTACGTCAACAATAAAACTTAAAATCTCTCAAAATGTTCATTATGCGCGTAAAACTTTAATTTATTAGAATCAAGAATTTTGTATTTTCACCAGAACAGTCCAGGGTATCTGTTGTTTTCACGACGTAAAATTCTTTATCAGAATCTAGAGTTTTGTATTTTCACCAGGACAGTTCAGGGTATCTGTTGTTTTCACGCCGTAAAATTCTATATTAGAATCTAAAGTTTTGTATTTTCACGAGAATAGCCCAGGGTGTTGATTCCACGATGTATAATTCTGTATTATAATCTAGAGTTTGGTGTTTTCACCAGAATACTCCAGGGTATCCGATGTTTTCACAACGTATACTTCTATATTTTCTTTTTCACTAACGGCCCATTTCTGTATTTCTCCGCTACCCATTAACAAATAGATGGTAGCTCCAACAACATATATACCCGCTGTTATATAAAACACTATCTGCCACTCAGCCTGGGTTCCCTGAAAAAACAAACACACCATCTGCTACTCAGTCCGGGTTCGCTACAGTGCCCTTGAGTGGGAAAAAATGTGCTTGAGCGAGACCTTTTTCAACCCCCCCCCCTTTTCCAACACTAGTCATATCTAAATGATTCAGTTGCACTTTATATGTTCTGAGGAATCAAAATTCTTTTTAAAAGGAACAATAAAAAAATTCATGCATAATTGTCCATTTCAATTTTGAAATCAATGGGCCCCATAGATTCTTAGGGGCCCTGGGCGGCGCACCGGCGGCATCCCCCTCTCGTGAGACCGGGTTCCCTAAAACTACCTGGAAAAATACATAATGAACAATATAACGTCAAATGTATAACGAGTCACGTAGACGAGGCAGAACATAGTATTAATTTTACGTTGTCATGTATTAAATGTCATGGGTTTTAATCACGAGAAGGGGGCCATGATGGGTCAGTACATGTCGAAGTGTTGACTCAAAATGTTCCCTTTGTCAGGACAGCACGTTAAAGATCCCCTGTCCCGACAAAAGCTTTCACTCGCGGAAGCCAAATGGTAGAAAGTACTAAAACTGACAAATATTGTCGAACTGATCCTCACAGTTTAGTTACCTTACCGAAATAAATGAAATGAAATGAAATGGGATTTAACATCCTACTGTTCTGCTCCTACACTGGGCTAATGAAGACGGGCATACGCCATACAGTGTGCTACGAGGGAAATTTTGCCCGGGCAGCGGCATTATCGCCTACTCTTATATCGAATTCCAACTGCCAAGGGATCTTTTACGTGCATTCCAATGTATACACGGGACCTCGGGTTTTCGCCTCATCCGAAGGACTAGACAGCTGTCCTTGTCAGGCCCTCCGTTCTGCACCACTGACAAGGGGAAACCACGTCGGAAAATCCAGATGAACTTTCTCGGCCAATACTACTCACAGTTATGGTATAGAACTTAGAATACATGTCGGTGGTGTCGGGCGGAGGTTAGGGGGGGGGGGCAAAGGACAGCGTATAGTCGTTCGGACGAGAGGAAAACAGAGATCGCGTGCATGCAAAAGAACCCATAGACAGTTGAAATTCGGAATACGAGTAGACAGTAGCGCCGCTGTCCGGGCAACATTTCCCTCATGGCACACTGCATGACTTATGGTCGTCTTCATAAACCAATGTTTCAGCAGAACCGTAGGACGTTAAACCCCATTTCATTTCCCTTCATTTCATAAGCTTAAACACGACCATTAATTTGTAATAAACGTTATGAAAGTAAATCTTACGTGTGGTGTAATGGCGCCAACTGCTGTTGGTGCTATTATTCCTGGTATTGTTGCCAAGGTGTTAGAAATTCCGAAAATAATTCCAGCATATTGTGGCGCGACATCGTTAAAGTTCACCAGAAACCCCCCACCTTTTTGGAAACCTGACATGGTGACTCCCAATGTCAACAACGCCACGGCATACGTCGATTGATTACAACCCATAAATCCTGTTCCTATCATTAAACCTGCAGGGATTATTTCACCTGAAATAAACAATACAATATATCTCTTTTACGCGTAAAGTGTTAAATCTGCCTATTGTGGGCCTTTCTCTGGGCCTTAAATGGTAAACTATTAGACATTTATTAACTTGCTAAGACCATAATCAACTCTCGATGTTATCGTATACTCCAGATTTTTAATAGATTTCAATACGTTTTATGGTTGACGCGGTTAACGTATAAATGGTTAACGCGTGCGCATTGGGTCAGAGGGTCTGTCATTGTGTCGAGTGAAGCGGTTGTATGTGACAAGGAGTAGAGTCGCCTGTCCAATCTCGTGTTTTTTTTCCGGGTCCTCCGTTTCCTCCCACTGCCAAAGAACCCTACGCGCAAGCGAATTATTGAAATAACATTGAACCATATGTTAGTCCTGAAATGACCTAATTTGTATCGAGTGGACGTTGCCCCTCCCCCTCTCTCTCTGATACTGATAGTGAACTGGGCATACAGTCAATTTATTATGTAATAGTGCCATACCGAGGGTAGTGAACTGAGCATACAGTTAGTTCAGTATGGAATAGTGCCATACCAATACTCACAGTAGTATTATTATAAAAAAAACCAAATAATTATAACCTGTCGTGTTAAAAACTTTCCTGGTAACTGTCGGAGATAGTAGTTTTCTTTTCCTTACATAATCTGCCAAATTACTGGACAGAAGCATACACACCCATAAGCCTATATAAGGTAAAGCAGACAGACCGCCATTCTGTAACAAAATACGTTCTCAACTAAGAGGTTTAAACAACTTACAGTTTCTTGATGCATATTTTAATGAAATTGGGTATAACGGTCCATTTTATTCATCAACCGGGTTAATGAAGACGGGCTTGCACCATATAGCGTGTTAGGAGGGTCAGGTCTAAATATTATTTGGTGGTATGTGGTAGTATTTAGTTAGTATTCAGTGGTATTGGGTAGTATTGGATAGAATTGGGCGGTATTAGGTAGTATTGGGGGGTGGTATGTGGAAGTATTTAGTTCCTATTTGGTAGTATTGGGTAGTATTTGGTGGTATTAAGTTTTTTGGTAGTATTGTTGTATTTGGTGGTATTGGGTAGTATTTGGTGGTATTAGGTAGTATTTAGTTAATGTTTGGTATTATTGGGTAGTATTGGGTAGTATTGAGTAGTATTTGGTGGTATTAGGTAGTATTTAGTTAATGTTTGGTATTATTGGGTAGTATTTGGTGGTATTAGTTAATATTGGGTAGTATTCGGTAGTATTGGGTAATATTGGGTGTTATGGGGTAGGATTGAGTTGTATTGGGTAATATTGGGTGGTATTGGGTAGGATTGGGTTGTAGTGGGTGGTATTAGGTAATATTGGGTGGTATTGGATAGTATTCGGTGATATTGGGTAGTATTCGGTGGTATCGGGCAGTATTGGGTTGTAGTGGGTAGTATTGGGCTCTTTCTACTCTTCATTGACTTTTAACTTCCAAGGAGAGAGAGAGAAATGGGGTTTAACGTCCACTCAACACAAACTAGGTCATTTCGGGACTAACACATTGTTCAATTTTATTTCAATAATTCGCTTGCGCGTAGGGGTCTTTAGCAGTGGGAGGAAACCGGAGGACCCGGAGAAAACCCACGAGGTTGGATAGGCGACCCTACTCCTTGTCACGTACAACCAGGGATTCGAAACCACGCCATTTGACTCAATGACAGGCCTTATGAAACAGCACGCACGTGCTAACCATTCGGCCATCCAACCCCCTAACTGCCAAGGACTCTTTTACACGCATCCTAAAAAGACATACATTTGTTGGAGGAGCAGAAGACATAAATTAGTAGGGCGAAGCATAAGAACAAGGCACGAATCTTGAGAAAGAAAAGACACCATACAAGTCCTTGGAGGTATAAAGCGTTAATGCCCTGGTTATAAACCAAGCTCAACGATTTGGCGAATTTGTTTAAAGAATCTTCAAGAATTCATCGGGTCTGCAAGGATCGTTGGTTTGCACGTAAAAGAACCCTTGGAATTAGTAATAAGAGTAAGCCGTAACAGCAATTTCCATGCAATATCTCGCTCATAGCATACTGTATGGTGTAAGTCCGTCTTCATTAGCCCAGTTGGAACAGAATAGTATAGAACGTTAAACTCCATTTTATTTCATTTTTGGGGGATCACGGTGTTCGATCCATGCATTGGCCGAGAAAGTTCATCCAGATTTCCGGTGGATGGGACGAAAAACCGAGGTCCCGTGTACACATTGGCGTGCACATAAAAGATCCCTTGACAGTGGGAATTTGATATAAATGTAGGCCGTAGTGCCGCTGTCCGGGCAAACTTTCCCTCATAGCACACTGTATGGATAAGCCCGTCTTCATTAGCCCAGTCGGAGCACAACAGTAGGACATTAAACCCCATTTCATTTCAAGGAACGTGGCTTAAATTATATTGAGCCAGACTCGCGATATTGAAAGAGTGTATTACGTTTTTAATATTAAACTTGAGAACATCTTTCATGTAAGTTGGTATCATGGTTATGAAGACATCTGTTCCCCAGTTAGATAATGTATGGGCTAGGATGATTGCCCAGACAGCTTTACTCGTTAAGATAGATAACCACGGTATAGAACGCTTCATCTAAAATGAAAAAAAAAAAAAAATAGAAAAATTAAACAGTTGAATTCATAAAATCTTATACATACATTATACAAGAGCCACATCTGCCAATTGCAGGTCTTTCTTTGCGCCTTAAATGAGCTAAATCGCTAATATTTGGGACCCAGAAATGGACACAAGGTCGCAACGCATATTATATAATTTTACATTCAATCGCTTTTGTTTTACTGTAATTTCTAATCGAATGGCAATCTCTAGCGTCTGGTTATTCCAGTCTACACCGATAGTATTTATTGCGAATGATCTCTAGATAAGAATACGGCGTCACCGTTTGACAGGACTTATGGAATATGTCTAGCCTCGTTTTTCGAGTCCCTTGTTACAAATGGCACTGAAACGCATTATGGTACACGATTCGTGTACCAGTGGTAAAATGTTCATTTTTTCGTAAGTATTGGATATCAGAAGCCCACCATTTCCCGGTAAGATCACAACATCAATGTTGATTTTTAAGCTGACAAATAATTGTTTTCAATGTCGAAGACTTTGGATGATTTTGAGTTAGAGACTTAATCAACTATTTTCAATAGATTTAAATACGTTTTGTGGTTAATGCGGTTACCATAAAAATGGATAATCGAGGTTTATCATCGTAATATAGGTAGTATCGACAACCAATACTACACTGTTCTTCTACCGACATACGTTGCGATTCAAAGCAGATGAGTCAAACCACCAAACCACCCAGTGGCTCACTAAACCATGATGCCCCAGATTCGACTCCAAGTTTGGCCGAGAAATTTACCAACACGCTCTCGCCATGTCAGACGTGTAGAACTTGAGGCCTGGTAAAAACCAGCATATTATAGTGGTGCCGATGGGACAAAAATCATGACTCATCCGTGTAGTATTAGGGTGCACGTAAAAGAACCACTGTTATCTCAGTTGGAATTTAGATCAGATGACGCGCCCACATTATATATTATTCGAGTAACAGTATCCTGGGTGTGAGACTGGTAGCATGGCGTCGATCTCACCGCCCCTCCCCCCCCACTCGCTGATCCGATACTATTATTTATGATACTCGTAAATGTTCAACAATTACCTTAGAATTTGAGATTTTTCCTGATAAACAACTAGTGATGTATTTCTTCTCTTTTTCTGATATTCTGGGATGCTGTTCTGGTGAATCGTGTATTAAAATCATCCATGCTAGAAACCAGATGAAACCACACGCACCTGTTGGAACATCATTATAGCATTATAGTATAATAACCTCATCCGATGTACAAGGGGTCTTTTATTCTATCCGATTCGATGTACACGGGGTCTTTATTCTATTTCATAACCACATTCGATGTACACGGGGTCTTTATTCTATTCAATAACCACATTCGATGTACACGGGGTCTTGTTTGGCCCGATTCTAAAGATTCGAACATGAAAGACAGGATTTAATAACATCTTGAGCTCGATGTCGACGGATAGAAATAAACTATACTACAGACCAAACCATAAAGATGTCGCGCGATGGATCGATGGCTGTTGGAAATCAATAGAAAGTACTGTGAATTTTAATAATTGTTGGGCCAATATATATTTTTGGGTAGACGACTACTTTAATTTATATTGGTTATTGTGGGTTTTTTTTTGTCTTGGTTGTGTCTTTTATTCTTGGATGTTGTGTCCTGTATTCTGGAATATTGTGTCTTTTAGTCTTGGATATTGTGTCTTTTAGTCTTGGATATTGTGTCTTTTAGTCTCGGTTATTGTGTTTTTAATATATAAATACCTATTACGTAGAAGATACTCGGCCAACCACCATTAAAACCATATTGACACAATAAACCAGCTATAGGGAACGTTATCACATTACCAGCTTGTGCTCCTATAATATATAAATAGTTACCATAGCAACAACTTTCATACTGACGTATTGTCATAACAACAGGGTCAACCATATCATACACAAAGGTTATATCACACAATAAACCCACAATAATGATCTCGAGCAAGACATTGCGTAATATATTAAAACAACACTCGTGCTAACGTTCTCGTGCAGTATCAACATTTTACTTAACCTCTCACTCGCGACCATTAAACCACACATAGAACATTTGAAACCAAAATAAAGACCTAAAGACCTACAGTAGACGGGTTTAGATCTAAAGGCCCGGTCCCAGTGGCCAATGGACACAAAACGTATGCAAAAAGGACACAGCGGACGAGCAAACATTCGGGGGTGGCTCCATCCGTTTTCATCCGCTCCAGAAATGGACAAAATTGACGAAAATAAGCGAAAATAGAACGGAAAAAAACAAATGTGGGAAGTATGTAGCGGGGATGTTAAATGGATGTTCATCGGAAGCCTAGCGGATGAAAGCGGGTGGAAGTGGATGACAGCTCCGAAGGGGTTAGGCAAACCCCAGACATCCTTCAATATACCAGATACTATGGAAGACCAAATGGGACAATATTCATGATTCTTGTTTCTACATTCCAGTTTGAACATTTTAGACACGAACGCAACATTCTAAACTAATGATTCTTGTTTCTACATTCTTATGTCAACATTTCATGCACAAAATCAACATTTTAAACAAAAAATTGACTTTATGTTTCATTTTCGGCGTTTTATCGGTAACTTTTATATATCATTAAATATTAAAATTAAAAAATAATTTCTTAATTTTACACGACAAAGAAATCAATTCATTGGTTTCTGAAAGTATCTAAAAAATAAATCTGGAATTTGAACTCTTATGAAAATATTTTCTACGTTTCAAAAAGTCTTGAAGTTAAAATCTTGAAATGAACCTTCAAAAAAAGATAATAAACTCACCCGCCATAGCGAATGAGCAGAGTATGCTGACCTCCAACGGGGGTGTCCAGTGTGCTAGAACTGTTTGAACTGCTGGGAAGCCAACTCCCTGAAAATATACTATTTTCAAATTCCATATTGTCAAATGTCAGTTTCCTAGGAGCGATTTTAAAATGGCGGGACATGAATTAACGTACCTTCTATAATGCACATTTTTTATGTTTAGTTTAATGGTCGAAAGCGAGACATTAAGTAATATATTGATACTGTTGTTTCAATATATTACGCAATGTCTTTACTTCGAGACCATTAAACAACTTAAAATACAGACACTGTCCCGCAGGTGCTTTCCAATGAAATACGTCACGCGAGTCCAATATTTCATATAGTATCGATAATGTACGATTTTCAAGTTGTCCGTACATTATTGGAAATAATGGTACGTCAACATCAAAGGATGACGTCACATCTGTATTAAGAATTGCTAATACACTGCGTTGTCGAATCACATAGACGGAGTAACGTTTAATCTCATACAAAATCAAATGACCGAATTTCTGCTCAGCGTAGCGAGTCCAAACTTTTGATCCCTTTTTTACAGGGAGAGAGAGAAATGGAGTTTAACATCCACTCGATACAAACTAGGTCATTTCGGGACTAACATATGGTTTAATTTTATTTCAATAATTCGCTTGCGCGTAGGGGTCTTTAGCAGTGGGGGAAACCGGAGGACCCGGAGAAAACCCACGAGGTTGAACAGGCGACCCTACTCCTTGTCACGTACAATCGGGGATTCGAAACCACGCCAGTCGACTCAATGACAGACTTTATGATACAGCGCGCGCACGCTAACCATTCAGCCCCCCCCCCCCCGATCCCCCCCGATCCCTTTTTTACAACGGGAATATGATAGTTTTAACTAGTTGTTTTTATTGTTTTATCGAGAATTGGAGGACATTAGGTTTTCGGATGAATTTTTGTTTTATTTTGTCACTGGAATCGTTTATTCGAAGTATCTGATTCATCCCTGTAAGCAGTCATCAAAAGGGCTAACGAATGAGTCGAAGCACTTTGGGAATCAAATTGTTTTTATCTTCCTATATATACTGTTATGTAGGAACCCATGCAGTGTGCTATAAGAGGACATTGCCTTGACCCGATCCACACGATAACATCAAACTGAATTTATAAATATGGTTTGAATATGGATTGGTGACAGGTTAGTTGTTTTTAAATGTTGAATAACAAAACGCTAAAAGAATATTCACCAATCTGATTAAAATACAGATCTATATTTTGTTTCGTTTTTGTCTACTTTCGATGGCCAACACTACATGAAGATCTGACAAGTTGTACTCGGAGGTCGTGTCAGGGTCGTACGAGCTGCTTTTGACCCTATGCCGTCAGACATGGATTAATTTGTCAGCGTTGGCGTTTCTAGTGGGTTACCCACAGTTCCGTGCATGACACGACAAGAAGTCACCGTAACAGATTGTTTCATTGGCTTATCCCTCACTTCAAACAAAACGGCGGTAATATAACAACCCTTCCAGAAATCCTAGTGTAGTAAAGACAAGTAAAATAAAATTTTGAACTATAAAAACGAAACAAATTAAGGATGTGTGTTTTATTCAGATCGTATAGTTTATCAATGATATACCGACATATAATGGCTCTGATTATATCTACACAATATATCGTGATAATAACTTATCTAATCATCTTATCAACAATCTTTTTTTTCATTTCACACTAATATCTGATCGAATGACTCGTCCGTTTATCAAATGGTGGATAAAAAAACCCTAGAGGCCATATTTGTAGCAAAATAGCATTTTGGGCCATCATTCTACCCAATTAAACTGGTGGATCAGAATTTTATGGACTTTTCGTACCCAATCTGTTTCACAGAGGAATGCAAAAGCCTTCTTTTTACTCTGAGAAAACAAATAAACAAGTGAAATCATGAATGAAATGGGGTTTAACGTCCTACTGTTCTGATCCGACTGGGCATACGCCATACAGTGTGCTGTGGTGGAAATTTGTCCAGGCAGCGGCGCTACGGCCTACACGTATATCGAATTCCATCTGCCAAGGGATCTTTTAAGTACACGTACACGAGACCTCGATTTTTTGTCCCATCCCATCCGACTATACGTTATCCCTTGCCAGGCCCTTGGTCAGAGAGAGAGAGAGAGAGAGAGAGGGGGGGGGGGGAGAAAGAGAGGGGGGGGGGCTGTCAGTAGTGTAGGGGTGAGGGCCTTACAAGGGAAAACGTATAGTCGTTCGGATAGGATAAACAAATAAGGCACCGTGCACACATTGCCGTGCACATAAAAGAAACCTTAGTAGCTGGAATTCGAAATAAGAGTAGTCCGGTCAAAAACTAGGCGATTACGGGACTAACACATGGTTCAATTTTATTTCAATAATTTGTTTGTGCGTAGGGGTCTTTAGCAGTGGAAGGAAACCGGAGGACTCGCAAAAAATCACGAGGTTGGGAAAGCAACCCTACTTCTTGTCACGTACAACCAGGGAATCGAAACCACGCCAGTTGTCTCAATGACAGACCTTATGATACAATGCGCTAACCATTCGGCCACCCACCGCTAAGCTATTTATGCTATCAGTAAAACATTCACTTACCTGAGTAAGACCAATTATGATTCTTAAAGCCATTAAGTAGAAAAACCCCTGTTGAGCAGCCACCGGAATGAGAAGATTCGCTAAAATCCCCAACAACATGAACCAACCGAAAACCCGTTTCCCGCCAAATCTAGTGGACAGCCATCCTCCAGGAATCTGGGTAATTATATAGCCCCAGAAAAAGCCACTCAATATAAATCCTTGTTCTTCTTTTGACCAGACAAAAGGTCCATCTTCCTAAAATATAATACACAGACAAACTGTTCACTGGAAGTCCAACTTGTCAGTGGTGTAGGGCGGAAGGCCTGACAAGGGAAACGTATAGTCGTTCGGATGGGACAAACCAATGAAGCCCCGTGTACACATTGCCGTGCACATCCTTAGTAGGTGGAATTGGAAATAAGAGTAGGCCGTCCAAAATGTTTCCCATAGCACATACAGTGTACGAGTAGAGAGAGAGAGATGTTGGTCATTTCGGGACCAACATATGGTTCAATTGTATTTCAATAATTCGTTTGCGCGTAGGATTCTTTAGCTCTTTAGCAGTGGGAGGAAACCGGAGGACCCAGAGAAAACCCACGAAATTGAACAGGCGACCCTGCTCCAGGTCACGTATGATAAGGGAAATTGTACCCTAATGACATTAACCCTGACCACAGGCTACCCTTATTTTGATTTCTAACGGGATCTCATTCCTTCTGTCCCATCCGAAAGAAATAGATGCGTTTCCTTGCCAGGCCCTCTGTCTTGTAAAATTTCCCCCATAGAATACTGCATGGATATGCTCGTCTTTGTTAGCCCAGTCGGGGCAGAAAAATAGGCCGTTAACCCCTATTTTATTTCTCTGACTACAAGAATGAATTTACTGCAACTCTAGCCTACCGTATCTACGGTTGAGTTTTCCGAGTTCAATTGACCATCACAAGTCGACGAATCCTTGTTATTGGCTTTATCTGCTGTAATATTCACGTCCATCCTACCCACGGCGGTATGGTTGACCATACACACTATAGCTACACTCATATTCACACGTAGAGCATATAGTGTGATCAAACCAAAGCAGCACATTACAGACACACCCAGTCGAACAGAACACCATATCTTCACGTTTTCTGAAACCAAGAAATTCTTATAGACAATCGAAATGCTGACAAAAAGTGGTATATCTAGTCCTTCGAATGGACGAAAAAACCGAGGTTCAGTCGTGTACACAATGGGATTCCCGTAAACGAACCCTTGACAGTTGCAATTCCGGGTAAAATAGTCGCTCGGGTGGGACGGAAACCCGACGTCCCGTGTACACATTGACGTGCGTGTAAAATAATTCTTGGCAGTTGGAATTCGATATAGGACGCTGTTTGGACAAAATGTCCCTATAGAACACGTATGGCGTATGCCCGTCTTCATTAGCCC